TTCCTCACTACCTCTCCATAGCGCGTGGGAATACATTTTATCCTGATTTGCCTCTCTCGACCATTGTGGTTTTTCTAATTCCGTTTTTTCATCTTTTCTCTCTTTCCTCAGCGGATATTCTAGTTTTGTTCCTCACATCTATTTTTATATTTTTCGTTGGCAACTTCACGTTTTATATTCCAAATCACTTTTGTTTCTTCTCATTCACGTTTGGCAAGTCTTGAAAAATGGGTGTCTGTTTTTGAGTACATGAAACATGTCGACTGTTATTTTTAATTTGAATATTTTTGAAGCGAATGAAGTTTTTAATCAAGTAGTAGCTATATTTAGTTGAAATGATTTTAATTATTTTCTTAACCCGTGTAAAGAAAGCAAAGTTTAAGAGAAACCATCATCAAGACACTTTGACGCGTTTCTCGTCCACTTAAAGCTATTTGAAGTAAATATCTAACTACATTACATACAAGGACTCTAGAAGAATACTGAGTTTAATGACACAAATGTCAGAAACGGCTATATAGTCTTGAAGTTAAATATGGCATCACACACAAAATTAATATTAATTCATTTGATGCTCGTAAATAATCCATTTAAAAATACAAAAAAAGACCAACTTATAGGAAAAAATTTATTATTTTCAAAAATATTGCATTTTCAAAATATACAGGTTAAATCGTTACACATTTTGACACAAAAACAAATGAACAAATAAAAGTTAAAAACAAAATTTTATCTTTATTTTTAAGTGTTTCACCAGAAAAGCTTGCATTTTCGGTTTTTTAGTAATAATAAAGTTGAGCAAAAAATTTAGTTTGATTTGTTAAACTTGCAATTTTTAATGAATGCCACAAATTCCTTTTCTTTTTTCAAATTTAATTATGTTAAAACATCAATTTTTTATGATATATTCCTGTTGTCACCAGAATCAACGATTAATTAAATGCCATAGGAAAATAATTCAAAAAGTCTTGCCGGAAAACTTCATGCTTCATTCTAAAATATTTTTGAAGCAAATTTGGGATACATTTGAAGCAAATTTGGGAAGCAATGAAAAATATTAAAAGATAAATTATAAATTATTCGTTAATATTTTTCATTACGTCCCAAGTTTGCGTCAAATATTTTAGATTTTTTAAAAAGGAACAAAAGTTTTCAGGCAGGAATTTTCAAGTTATTTTCCCATGGCATTTAATACAAGGAAAATTTACACAAGAAAAAATATTCCTACATATATATTCACTAAAATGTAGTTCATTAAATTTATATATTCACTACAATACAGTTATAGCCACAATATATGTAATATATAGTGGCTGAATCTAAATTAATTCCTTAATCAGATATTAAACTTAATACTTTTTTGAGACAACCTAATGCAATTGTGTTACTATAAATTAAATCTATCATTAAATCAAACACATAAAAACAAAAAATTAGTTTCTGATAGATTTTAATGCATTTTTAGAGCAGTTAATAGGAAATTAATGAAGATTTTTTTATTTTTGATACTTTTGGAGATTATGATACATCCAAAGTATTTTGTCTCTTAAGAAACTGAAAACAAGGAAAACTATAAAATTTTGAACCTGTGAGGTTTATTTTTCGAAACAAGGTTTTTTCTAGAGCATACTTATTTCGAAAATGCAAGTTTTTTAAGCAAAATATTATTTTGATTTTAACGATAAAATTTATAAGTTTGAGGAAAATTAAACTGGTTAATATTTGAATCGCTGCATGCAGAAAATACTTCAGTTCTACACACTGCTTTTAAAGAATTTTTTTTCCCTTCTTTTTTCCCTTTTCAATCAGTGTGGAAATATGAAGAAAAGGAATTTAACTTATGGTTTAGTTCATAGACTATGAAATTGGTCCAAGCACTAAGAAGTTTTACTTTTTTTTCGTATTTTCAAGCTGACTGGAGAATTAAAAAAAAAAGCTATTTTTTGCATAGTTTTTGCCAAAAATAGATTAGTAAGACCGAAACCCATTTTGCTCGCAGCGATTCATTTCAAAAGTATGACATTAGAAAGAAAATTTTTGATTAAAAACAATTTAAGCATTGAACAAATTCAGATTTAAGGTTACGTTAAAGTTTAGTAAACCTTCGATTTTTTTAAAAAATTCTCTTAGTATTTCCTAATTTTACAAATTGCGTTGAATTGAAGACTGATCAAAATTCTTTACATATCGTCGTATTTTGCAAATTTTCAGAGGGTACAATGATGTTTAAAAACTCAAAAATATTTTTGTATGCAAGGTATTTAACACTCTTTTTTTTAAATTCAGTGGCATTTCCAGGAAACTAAAATTATATTTTACATTATAGGACAATTTATGTTTTTCTCTTAAATATCTTCTAAATTCTGCAAATTCGTATATTTTATTACACATTTAATTCAAAATTAAAATAAAATTTAATTTTTTTTGTATGTTTAGGATTTTCTTAATGCATGTTCAAACTTTCCTCAATCAAATCAATAAATCTAGCACAAATTTCTAGTTTATTTCATACTCAGCAGTACCATATCAAATGAATAAAACTTAAAGTCTAAAAAAATCAAACATTTATGTTGTTATTTTAATACTTATGTACAAATATAGTAGACTTTATTATACAAAATTATCAACACTTTGGTAACATATTCTTTGGTCAGTCAAGTGATTTTCTTCAATCAAAAAGTATAAAAAATATTATACTTTGAGACATTATTTACTTTACAATGCAGCAAGATACTATTTTTTTTCCGCCAGGAAAAAAAATGTTAGTTGCGTCACTTCCTAAAGTCTTGTAACTGTCCTGCTTTTAAGCAAGAGGCGCAGCAGTATCTGCCATAAATTTTGTTATTGCAGTAATTATTTGCAATGATCATCTGACAGTTAGAAAAATGAGGATTGTCAACACAGCTTGGATCTTCAACAGTTAAGTCTAAAAGAATAAGTTGATGGAATCAGTTAAAAAAAATCGAACAATTAGAATCATTTTTATTATTAGCTAAACAGATAACACAACAAAACTTATAGTAAAAGAATGTAAAACATTTCACTAATATCTCTGAAATTTAAGGAAACTCATTAAATGTTTAATTTTTATTGTCGTCACTCTGTGGATAGAATACTCGTGTACCAGGTTCGAACCTCAACAATGGCTAGTCGATACAAATTCTGTTCTCAGCTAACACCAACCACAGTGTTAGGTAAAAATATCATCAGTGGTAGATAGGTGAAGGATTTGAATCCCCCTCATGCCACGAAAAACCGTAAAAGGTTTTCTTCTCTACGTAATGTGACTTTAAGCTCCATCAAAAAGCAAGGAAGGTAGTTTGTTGAAATGCTGGACAAAGAAGTTTCCTTGTTGGGTTTAAAATTACCAGGCTCCGGATTTTCAAAATTGAGAGTCGTAAATCCAAAGATGGATGGGCTGTCCAACTCAGGTATTATAAAATAAAATAAAACCTTCGCTGTCGTCTTTTGTTGATACTCAATAGGAATTAGTGACAGAAAGCAGCTATATGATCTCAAAGTGTAATTTTTCTTATTAGAAATCTACAAGGAGTGCAATTGGTATTTCACCTAGAATTGACTTCGTACTTGAAACAAAGTACTCTGAAAATACGAATTTTAAAATTACAGGCATCAACAGTTTAAATCTTTGAATATTTCTTCTGATCACAGTTAGCTTTTTTATTTTACTGAGTTGCTACATTTCAAAATACCAAATCGAGACATAATACATAGACGTTCTCATGAAGTTAAATATAATGTGTTCTTCTGTTTTATTAGTATGAGGTACAATTTTTGAGAATTTAACGTTTGTAACTTGAACTTGAAGAATTGTTTGTAAATTGAAATTCATAAATCTGGGACGTTTTCTTTTTGATATATTGTATACAGTTATGTATTAGACAAAAAATTACAGTACAACTATGACACCGTTAATTTGTTAGGGTTCTTCTCTGTCAAATTATTTATTTAAAAACGTGCGTTTGGTCTTAGTCTGTATCAAACATTTTATAATTTCAATAAACAGAAGCAGTATAATTTCAATAAACAGAAGCAGACACTAAGCAAAAATAGAAGCTTTTATGTGTATTGAATCTCTTTAACATCATTATCGTGCATATTTCGCATTTTAGTTTTAAGAGAAGAAAAAAACCTTGCAAGGCAATTTTTGAAAATAACGATCTTTAGATTGCATTGGGGAGGTTGCTGAATTTAATGGCAAAATGGTCAGAATTTGGCAATGCTAAACGGAATTGACTTCAAGCTTTTTAGCTAAGATGAAAAGACAGTGGCTGAATTAAATCTGACACTTACTAGATTGCATATTAAAAATACAGCTTTTTTAAAATTTCTCAGAAACTGTTAGACCAATGTCGCTCAAATTTTGAATTTTACTACGTACGATTACATTCGTTAAAATAATGTAAAAAAATTATACCTTACGACTATTATTAAATTAAGTAATAAAAAGTAATAAATATTTACTAAAAAAATATTTCTTGCATGGAATTATCTTTAGATAAACGAATATTATAATTGTGTATAATAATTTCTAAATTCGCTTGAAAAGTTCTCGAGATACGACGAAATACGCAAAAAGTAAAATTAAATTTCAGTGGGTTCAAACTTCGGATTGCTCTTCTGACCAAACTATTGGGACCGTATTTCCCAGATTGCGGCTACCCCCTACTTTTTGGAAGTCAGAAATCCAAATTCATCTAAAAAAAATTTATGTTTATTCAGAGAGCTAATTTTGTTATCTAAAACATTGTCTGTACTAATTAATTAGCATATTTCAGGCCCCCTCTTTAAACCATTATTATTGAGTTCTAGCACGGAAAAATCTGATCTTAAGATCAAAAGTTATTCAGGATAGTAAGTTAATTTTTTGGGTATTGCACATACGAAAAACAAACTTCATCACTTGTTAAAAGAAAACCATCAAACAGCTAATAAATTCACTTACCAATGACTGTTATGGATACAGAAGATGTGGCTACATTATTGTTATATTCTGCAGTGCATTTATATTCACCGCTGTCTTCTTTTTGTGCTTTAGTGATAAATAGTGTGTTGTTTGAAAGTAATCTTTTGCGATCGTTCTCCACTATAATATCATTTCCATGGCTCCAAGTAACTTTTTTTACTGATTGCGGACCCTTTACAATGCAGTCAATCTGGAGAGGTGAACCAACTGTTGGATTGTTAGTAACTAAGCTGACCCTAGTTTCCAGTGGTTCTAAAAAAATAAACAATGAATTACACTATTATGATTATTTAAAATATAACATCATTAAAATATAAATCATAATGCATTTCGATTGTTGAAGATCAGCTATGGGAAACATTTAAGAGATTATAATTTTTATTTCTTGAAAATCATAAAGTAAATTAAAAATAAAAAACCCTTCAATGAGAATACTCAATTTTCGATTAAAATCTGTATAAATTGGACTAATATAGATGCGTTACTACACATATTATTGGAACCTATCAACTGTTGGATAAAAATTTTGGGCCATTTAAAAAAATAATTATTTTAATTGTAGTTAAGACTTTCTAATTTTCAGGACATCCTAAAATACAGAATGCACATTCATTTACCAATCTCTCAATTTTATTTACCACTTATCTTTACGACTTATATTTATGCAATAACATGCGAGTTTTGAAAATGTAGGTGAGGAAAGAATAAAATGAAGATAATTAAAGTAGTGATAAGTATTTTTAAGCAATTTCTATCTTTATAGTGTTGAATATTTTTTTTCTTCATTAATTTTTTTTTAAATTTCACTTTTAAAAAAAATAGACATTGGTTTAGCGTTTGGGGAGAACAGCTATGTTTTTGAAGATCATATCACTCTATACACAGTCTTATGCTTCCTATTTCACGTCATGTAAAATTAAAAATACAATCGAGAGATTTGGCGCTTTTACGTGCGTTAATTCTTCACAACGCTACCACAGAACATCTCGGTTCTCTACAAATTTTAAACAGATACGTACGGAAGCCTGTGGATTGCTACGGGGAAAAGATAAATTTCTCTAATTTTTTATCAATATACAGGTGTACCGTATTATTTAAACTGCTAAATAACCACCATGTCGTTTTTTCTTAAGATTCTATTTGTTTCAACTTTCTATCTTTAAAGAATGGGGAGGATGTAAATTACATGACTCACATAATGAATCATCTCAAATGATGAATCATCTCACAAAATTATCAGAAACGGATAAAACCGAGACACTTTCTTCATCAATATATTTTTCTCCTTCAATAATCATTTCCTGATGGGGAGTTTTTTTTTTTCTCCTGTGCATGTGATATTTCACACTATCATTTACACATTATCAATGTTGCCCTTGAAAAAAAATTTGAGATTCGAAATGTACAACATTTTCTCTAACCCGAATACGTAAAATCATAGATTTTCAAGGTTAGAACCACAAATTTAAAATATAATCGAATTGCGAAACTGTATTTATAATTGTGCTGTAATTAGTTATAAATGAAACATAAAAAACTTTATCTAAATCCTCTTGCAAAAAATATATAGATACTAAGATTTTGTTTGTTTTGTTTAATATATATAATTTGTGAAAACTTTCATCCTATTCCTACTTCGAAAGGGAATTGCTAAATCAAATTACTTTTATTACATTCCGTTTTAATCTCGATGCCCAGTTATATAAATTTCAGTACTGTAAAGTCAGTATATGTACAGAGTGTTTCATAAAGGACATCTCGTATAGGGGCATTCTTTACTACAAGTTAATAATATTCGAAAATAATCAATCCTTGATTTTTTTTTTTCATCATACTCCCTTTACATTTTTATATACACCTTCGTACTTTAAAGTTTCTAAATATTACAGTATATACGCAGTATGGCAAAATGTATCGTAAAAGTATAAAACCCAAAAATAGCAACGGCGGGAGCGTCGCTAAAAATGTAGAGAGAAAAGAATGAAGTATGACTGGTTTTACCATATGGATATTGAGATGGTGGCGGTAAAGGTGTGACAGCATTGAAGGGAGTTAAAGGTTCCGAATCTCTGGAATCGCTATCTTCTGGTAAGTAAGGCGCACCAAACTCCGGTTGCAGTTCAATAATTAATGTCACCTTATAGACAGCACCTGAACCTATTCCATTGTGCGCATGGCACGAATATTCACCCCTATCCTCATAAACTACAGATCTTATAAGCAAAGCAAAATCGGGTAATTGCTCGTAACGGCGACTTGACAGTGGCAGCATTGTAGTGTCACGCCACCAAGTAACTGTAGGTCTTGGCCACCCGATGGCATTACAGGGCAGTTCAGCTGGTTCTCCGATATGCCCTTCCGTTACATTCACACCAGGCAAGATTTTGGCAGGTTCTGTGTTAAAGAAACAAACATGCAAGAATTGTTAGTATAAACGGGCATGCTGTTAACATAAAGTTAGTTATTGTATGATTTAATACTAAAAGAATAATCTAGAGTGCCTAAAAAAACACATGCTAAATATTTTGGTTACTTTATAAAAGTTCCCTCCTATGAGTTATATTTAGAATAGCTTTTTTTTAATTAAAAAATCTTAATATTTGAATTTTAGAATAAGAAAAATTATTAAAAGAACAACATGTTAAGGAATGTTAAAATATTTCTTAAGGAATTCCGGAAACATGCATTTTACTTACACTAAAATTTATTATTTTTTAAATACTCAGTTCAATCATGCCCGAGTGTCGAGTCCTTGATAATGTAATGACACATTCCTAAATAACTTAATAACCAAGTTTTTTAAGTTTTTGGTTTATCGTCTAGGGAATTAAAGACACTCCAATAATTTTATTTCATTTTTTAACCGGAGTTGAACAACAGACTTAATTCTGAGTTTACGACTGCCAATGCTCTGTAGTCTTGTAATTTTGAACCCAACACACTAGGCAAGGGAATTTCTTGATCAATCATTGGGGGCAAACTAGCCTTCTTGGAGGATTTTTTTAAGAAACTCACCCGCTCCTGCAAGGAAAGTACGAAAAACTCTCATTGTTAGCCCCACGGCAAGGGGATTCTAACCCATGATCCGTCTACCAATGAGAATATTTTACGTCTAAACTGTGGTCGGCGCGAGACAGGAGCAGAATTCGTCTCAACCAGCCAACGTTGGGGTTCGAACCTAGGTGACATTGTGAGGCGAACGTACTCTCCCCTGAGCCACAGAAGCTCGCTCCAATAATTGGAAAAATAAATAAAAATTAATAGATATTAAAATATATTTCGCAAAATCTTATTTTATTCAGTGGTTATAAATACACGTTACAGCCAAGCAGATTGAAGATCGAATTGAGATAAGGTAGAAAATAATCGGTACCATCGTAAATAATGTATTGTAAAAATATATGTTGCATTCGTAAAGTATGAAATGAAATACCTTAATTTTGCTTTAATTTTCAAAAGATAAGTAAATATGGCATTGTGATCTTTTTACATTATAATATTAACCCTTTTTGTGATAGTTTGAAATTTCCGTTTAGCCTCTCAAAAATGCAAATAATAGGTTTAAATAATGATTGCAGAAAAGCTAACATTTTGTATTTTTATAAAGTAAATAAAAACATTCCTAAACATTTTTATGAAAGTAATAAGCATTCAACAACCAAATATTTTTGAAATATAATTGCCATTCTTTTTACTGTGTGGGTTATTGTAGTAGTATTATGAGAAAAGAGATATAAGACTTGAACATTACTTAAGAATATTCATAATTTTCTATTTCTTAGTATACCATGAAGGAACTGAAAACAGTATAAAGAGTTACAAATAAACGATATAATTAAACTTTTTAACATACAGAAATAAAGCAACTTTTTCTTTATTAAATTTTCTATATTTGGATTAAAATGTGTCTTAGGACTTACATAAAAATGATATATTTATTGAGTGTGAACAGAAAAAAGTACACAGCTAACTCTTTCGATCCATGCAATAAAGGTAAATGTGTAATCGTCTGAAAAGCAAAGTTAGAGGGCATTTTATTGTACGTATGAAACAATTCATATTCTTTTATCTACAAATGGTGTGTGTGTGCCCTGAGTTTAAGCCTCATGCTTCAGCCTATATGGGTATCTACTGCCTTATAGCAATCTCACTTTGCCATTCGTTTTAATCTTTTGAGTAATTATTTCACACGGTCTGCTGGCAGGGGACCTAAATATCGTTCTAGTAACGGTAAGGCGCATTTAAATTATGATCTTCTAAAAATCGGGGCTATCCTCGCTGGCGATTTCAAGTTTCTTCCCAGGGTGTTCTGCAATGGTTGATTTTAATATATATTTTCAAAATCTATGTCAAAAACACATCAAGAATCAAAAATTCATATTTATGTGTTGAAAAACGATATAGAAATCAGATGAATCACTATTGAGGAAAGCGATTCTAAGAAAAACTTGTTTCATAGCCAGAGAGGAAATTAAAAGTGATTGTAACAATAATTTTTCAGTTTTTAGACAATGTAACTGGTTTTATACTTTTCCATTCCGCCTTCCTCAATAGTGATTCGCCAGATTTCAAAAACGTTTTCGTTTCTATTTCACTTACATTTTTATTTTGGTTCTAATGAGCCTAATTATTTGATTTAATTTTAGACTTCAAAAATGTATGTTTAAAGCTCTTGTTATGGAACACCCTCTACTTAGTTCTGAAACTCTGAACAGGAATCTGTCATCCTTTTCTTTCATCGTTCTTTTCGTTTACATCTTTCATTTCTATTAACTTAAGCGTGTATTGGCAGATCTTACATTGGAATACAAAGCATTTACCTCTACTTTTTTCTAAATAAGTTTAATCAACGTTAATCAATTTATTGGAAATTTTAATAAATAAATAATTTTAATAAATAAAAATAAAAGAAATTTTCAGCTTTGAAACACAAATAGTTATCAACAATATTAAAAAGGTGCAGATGAAATGAAGAACTTTTTAATACCATTTTAGTAAACTGATTAAATGGTAGTCAATTTTTGAAATTTTAATATAAAATAATGTTAAGAGTAATGTAAAATTCTAAGAATCTGAGCTCTCTTTTTGTAACTTTTGGCATAATTTTATAGAAGCAGGAGACACAGTAAGAAATCATACCTGGCTGGGTTGCAGGGACCAACAAATCGTCTGAAAGGAAAAGGAACCAACCATTTTATTATTGAGCTAAAATTATTATCATTTTAGAATGAAATAACCAAATGTTACACTTTAAAATAATCTTCCTATCATATAATGAAAACAGTTTTTATTATTCTAAATAAAATTCGTAAAAAGTGTAATAATACATTGTGCGTTAAAACATTAAAATCAGAATGATATTCGGAACAATTACCTTTTAGCATTTACAACCAACAGCGGATTAACAGATACATATTTTCTCCCAATTTATTATAATTAATACCATACAAATAATTTATTAGCAGCCCATATGTTAGAAATATTACTGTTTTGGCATAAGAAGAAAATCTTCAACATATTTCATGTAACTGTGATTTTAATTTATCAGCTTTCAGTTAGAAATTTTTACTATCTTCACTTCCCATTTTATTAGAGTTAGTTTCTGTGCGCTATTATCGAAATTTCGATTCCAAATCAACATAAGAAAATGAGATAAAAGTCACCTACTCATTCAACAAATGTGTAAATGTTGAGAATAAATTTGACGTCGTTCAATGATGCTTTGTTAAGTCTCGCGAAACTTAACCCCCAAAACATTCTGCTAAAAGTAAAATAAATTTTTTAAAAAATTAATTAAAAAGGGTGAATTCTTATTTTTATTATTTACCCTTAAAACTGAATTAATTACGTTAATATAATACAAAAATCAGTTAGTATTTTTCAACTTTATACATAAAGTAAATAAAACATGATTCGCTATTCGTTACGAAAGTTGGTTATGTAATTTGCCTTCAACCTTTGTTTCAGTTATGCTCAGAAATTGTGAGTGAGTTTACCTGTTGGAGCCATGCAAGTGAATGCACACCCATTATTGCAGCATTTATGGTCTCCTCTGCAATCTGCATCATCTCTGCAGCGAGTTTCACAATCTCTTTCCTCAGTTGCTTCTCCTCTAGACGATGGACAAAGACCAGATTTGTGGACTGAAACAAAAATTCAGAATTTGACGCGTTATGGCTTGTTTTCACTGAGTATCAATTCACAAACTTTCACTTTGTAGGAAAAAAAAAGTTATACTAACTTCTTCTACACACTGCTTCAGTCTTGACGGCAGACCTTGAAGTGCGCACGACATCAATTGCGCATCGGCTACCTTCTGGACAATTAAGATCCTGAAATACACCAATGTTACATCAATTTTTAGAATTGATTCATGTATTATGTAAATAAGTTGCAATGGCACTATAGTTAAGGCAGTAATCTCTCATTGTTAAGGACAGAGGTTCTTTGAACCCATCTCCAGATGGGTTCAAAGTTGTCCTGACTTCAGATTTAGTGAGCAGTACTGATCACACTGCCCCATCATGCTCTTGTTCTCAAAGTTATGAAGCTTTGATATCCATGACACTAGTTGTTACTGCAGTACTTCACATATTTTTTAATATGTGATATAAATAATGTGAATTCTCTGAGTTGCCTGGCTTGTGAGAACTTAGGGAAGGAAATTCTTTTTAACTATATTTTTTTCTGTTCTGTTTATCATGATAAACATACTTGCGCAGAATGCTGTCCCTGTTTCAATAAACTTTCAGAATTATTAATTTTGGAAAAAATGTAACCACAGTCCTGTAAAAATAAAACATTGAAATCGAAATACTAAAATTTAAATTTAATCGAAATATTAAATTTAAATTTAAAATTTAAGTGACTAATAATTGAAGTTATTTTAGCGTTACCATTTAATATTTACTAAAACTACACTCAGAGGTGTGACAGCCCATAGAGGGCCAAGGTCTACTGCGCCCATCTCAGTTTTCTTGACCTTTGGACTCTGAGGTGTAAGAGCAGATGTTCCAATTGGGTGGTTAGCCCAACGCGGAACTCCCAGCGTTTAGTTCCCAAGCATGCTTGCTTGGTACTCATTTTATCGACCCACTGAAGGGATGAAAGGCTGAGTCATCCTAGCCCGGCCCAAGGATCGAACCAGGGACCTGTGGTACGACAGCGCGAAGCGCTACCGCTCAGCCATCGGGCGTCACCATTTAATATTTAGTTATCCTTAATAAGAGCTTTTTGAATGAAACGAGCTCTATGTAATCCCAAATAATTCCTTCAACAGCAGTTGAAAATCATCGAGTTGAGCAGTGCACGAAAATATTGGATTTGCCTACTTGTTTCAAAATATAGAAAAGAGCAAAGACATAAAAGTTGTAAAAAAATTTTTTTTTAAGAATTTCCATTTCCATCTTCCCTTACTCCTTTAATTCTTAAGATGTAGTGTGTACTGTGTACTCACAAAGTAATTCCTGCATTCAGTATCATCTTACCTCACAGGGGTTGGCACACCTACAAGAAGAACATCCGTTCACATCAAAGGATTCTTCAATACCATAAGGACACTGTATATTTGCACAGTTTGAAGGAGCACATTGTGTGGGAGACGTGCTTGTTGGAACAGGAGTGGTTTGGACAGATGTTCCAATTTTCGGTGCTAAAGCTATAAAAAAATTGGAATGAAATGAATTTAAAGCACATAAAAATGCATTTTTTTAAATCAATGATAAAAAAAAATAGGACTCAATTTACTGAAAGTTGAAAAGAAATGGTAATGGAGCTTTAAGCAAAAAATTTCTGGATAGAAATTTTTTCAACAAAACTGATTTAGGAGTAAAAATAGTACTTTTATCTAAAATGTAAAATCTATGACTGCATTTATAAACCCTCCAATTTACAAGATTTTAACCTCTAAAACATTATTCATAATTTAATTTGTGATGGAGAAAACAAAAACAAAAATACATCAATAAATCCGTAATAGTAATAACTTTAATTTCATTTATTTTCTTTTTGATTTTCCGAAGAACAGAGTATAAACCAATTATAGCAATTTATTCACTTATATACGACTTTGCACGTACAATAAATTTCTTAAATATAATAAATATCATACGAAAAAGATTTCAGGTAAGACATATATACAAGTTTTATTTCTCCTTCAAAATTCCATGCATTGTGATGCACGCTATAAAACTTCAATTGTTTCTCAAAATTTTTAGCAACTCTTTCGTAAAACTCATTATGTATTTATTGTACTAAACATTGACAATATATTGGGTTGAAATAGATGAAGTACGGCGTCTGGGGTTCTGATAAAATAAGAAAAATGAACTTTGAGACTGTATTCGTGCAGTATTTGATGGGTCGAGTCTTATTAAAATGTTGTTTTTTTTTGTCATTTTAGTTCTGCTGAATCCAGAAAAATTTTCGGTATGTTATAAGATGAAGAATTTACCATTCATAACAATAATTAGCTTTCAATTCTTTCCATCAGCGTGAGTTATATTTAAATTTGTGCTTATTACAATCGTCATTGAACTAGATTTTTAAATGCTTGTCTGTCTTGAGTATAAACTTCTATCATATGCCGTCATTTTTTCATTATCTGCCAATAAATTTATTTAGGGAAACCAATGGATTTCATTCAACGTAATTATTGATTGCTATACACTTCATGAGAGTATTGAGAGCTTAATTGTTAATCTGATACTTAATACTAACAAGCATTTCAATTTATAACTAGCTCAATCTCTTACTGCTACTCTTATGACCAGGTTATCTGAACCACTTAATTACTTTGAAAAAGTATCTATGCGAAATCCAAGCAAATGAGGAAGCATCAAATTTGCGTTTTTCCTAATTATGAAGACCTGTAACTGATTTATTCTTGTTGATTCAACTTGAAAAATGAAAAATAATACATAAGAGTACAGAAAAGTCCAATTTTCATGAAATATTCAAGCGCATTAAAGCAAGTCCTTTCCAAATAAGGCGAATTTAATTTAATTTAATTTAATTTAATTTAATTTAATTTAATTTAATTTAATTTAATTTAATTTAATTTAATTTAATTTAATTTAATTTTTTTTAATTTAATTTAATTTAATTTAATTTTGTAGCTTTCTCTTATTAGTATTCAATCTCTCACAGAAATTGTTATCATTCCTATTTTGTAAAAACATTTTAAAACTGCATTATTTTCTTAAATTGTTTTGAGTCTACCAGAAACAAGAAAATTTATCATTCCCAAAGAGCCTTTTTTTTTCATATATATTTATAAAGAAGAATAAAATGACCTTAGGGATTAGGACAGGGCATTAGGGATGTTATTATGTATCTTCTAGAGAAGAAATTATTCTGACCTTTGATTCCACTGCAAAATCGTAAGCATATTTCCGATGTCTTGAATCTGTTTTTATTTCCACCACATCCACCAAACACAAACGGTAAGCAGCTTTGCGTCTGAGCGTCATAAAACCATCGAGGGAGTTCTTCATTACACGGCCCGGTATCGACGGCTAAACGGCACACATCTAACCAAATAAATAATAATAAAGAAGTTAATATTAAGTGAATGATAAAAATAAACATTTTTAAGACTCAAAAAAATTGAATAAGGTAAATTTTCTAGTTGTCTTAATGGTATTTTATTAACAATGCCTTATTATGAATACACGTCCAGCCATCATATGTTACCATCTTCTTATATGCCTGCTTATAATAAGGCAAACAATCAGAAAAAGCTTCGTGTAATTTTAAGCAGCTCAAGAGTTGTTCGTGAAAACTGTTGATAGTTTAGAAAATAACCTTTTCTCATGCTTCATTTCGCATTTCAAAGATTTTGAATCATTATATTAAAAAAAAAATTATGCAATATCTAACGTTAAAATTTTGGGATCATGTTACTGTGGCAGAAAACTAAACCTATTTCGGTGAGCAGTTGTTTATGAACATTTATAAGATTTTAGCTAAATATAAATTGAAAAGAACGCTAATAAAGTTATTTTTTTTCGTAAAGAAGACCACTTAATGAATATCCCGGAATAAGTTCCAAAATTTTCTGGAAATCAGGGAGTCGGACTTATACACCTAAAGTAAAGATGAACATTCATGAAATATCGTTGCCTTATAAATAATGAAATAGTGCTGAAACACCCCGTATCGTTTATTCCTTTCAGAAATTATTGTTTACATGTTATTCACAATTAGTTTTCTATTTTCTCTCTGATGCATATCTTTTTAAATATAAAAGATTGTTTAAGGAGCAATACTTTATTACAATAATAATTGAGAGTGCATCTTTATTTGAGGACAAATTTACCAATTTTAGAGAGAACACTGTGAAATATTTCTTAATTTAGAAAAATTTTGTAAAATCAATAAGTTTTTTATGTTTTTGAATTTTTGAAATTTTTTTTTTTTTTTTGGTTTTTTCAGCCATCGACTTATAAAATGGACGTATCAGATATTTGCTATCTCGTAATCAGAAATAATGTGTCGATTTAAACAACGGAATGTATGGTAATTTGTGGTAAAAAACTGATTCCTTCGAAAGAAACTCTTTTTTTTAGTTTTTAGAATTCTTTGTTATGTTGCATTTCCATTTGCTAAACTGCAAATTTTAGGAATTTTTTTATTTCAGATGCAGTAGTTCCTTATGAAGAAATTTCAAACATTTTTTTTTCCATTAGAACTAGCCTCATTGCAACATTCAACAAAACAAATCTCAACATTTAGAAAAGGCATAAAATATGCATATTAATAACACTTGTTAATGTTAATGTAAATTACTATTATTGTTATGAAAGCATAACATACCTTCATTGCTTGTTGGTGGAGGTACAGGTAGTAGGGAAGGAGGGGCTGTAACCAGATATTGGTTGGAAGCATGCAGTCATTAAGAAGTGAAAATAGAACAAAAATGTTAGTTTGTTAAAATCATAGGTTAAAATACGAAAAATACTTATTTCAAAAGAAAGTAAAACAAAAGACTTTAAAGTAGAGCTCAGCTATACTAGTTATTTGTAAATACTTTTGACAAAATAAGAAAACAAAACATGTTGATAATACCAATGGTAGACATTTGTTAAGTTCTTGGAATTCCATTTTGACGTTAATAAAATATGAAAAAATATGAATAATTATTATTAGCGTTAAATGAATAAATATTATTAACGTTATAATTAAACTACCTATGAGCATGCTTTGCATTTTTAGAAGGATACCTAAAAAGGAAGTTGGGCATCAATTGATTAATGTCTAAAAATAGCCTGTTAATTTACAGAAAAATATTTTGACAAAATAACAATATCTTCACAACGACGTTCGTAAAAAATAATATTCCAAACCGTTTACTCGCATTAAAGAGTATTGACCAACAGAAATGTCAAGAAATCGCCAGCAAAGGCTTAGAAAAATGTGACAAAATATCGATACCTCAACATCATACGATACGCCAAGAAGTAATTAATATCTTAAAAACGTTGTAAAATATCGATCGATATTTTTACTACGGCGTTCCAAAAAAAATATTCCACAGCGTTTACTAGCACCATAGAATATCGACCAACATTGATGTCGAAAAATCGCCAATCAATGTATAAAAAGTATTACGACAAAATATCAATATTTCAACAGGTGCGACATCCTAAAAAAATAATTTATCTGTATTTTAAAAACGCTGTAGAATGTCGATCGTTATCATCACAACATCGTTTTAGAGTATTGCTTAGTGATTGCCATAGAATATGGACTAATATTGATACCGAAGAATCACTAGTTCAAAATTCCTTAGAAAATATTGTTTGTTTTCCTAAAATTAGAACAAGTTTCTAATTTTTACAAATTTTCAAAAATGCTTTTCAAAATTTGCTTCAACTCCTGCCACAATAATACATTTTTATAAGCATCCTGCATAACTAGAAATCACAATTAAATAAGTAAGAATTTTGAATTTCACAAAAACATATAAGCTAACGTCTATTTAAAATATCACAGTTAGATTTTGTTTAACACTTCTCGAAATACTCAAGCAAATAAGAATAAAAGTTATATAATCTTCGACGATGGTCAAAAATTACCTTTAGTTACTTTAGTTGTCTTCTTCACGCAGTGTTGTTCGCATTCAGTCCTTTCTTCAAAGCGATTGGCATTTCCTTCGCATCCACCATAGACAAATGACTTGCAAATATTTTCAGAGTTATCATAGAACCACATGCGATAATATCCAAGACAAGGGCCTGGCTCTTGTGGTAACAAGCATAAGTCTGCAAATGAATTAATCATATCACATGATTACTTAGTTATATTTCAAAATCACTGTTCTAAAACTATGTTTCCTTTTAAGAAGTAACTAGAAGGGATTTTTATAAAAGTGATTTTTTATCTTTACTTACTTTGGACAGTATGAGTGTATTTGGAAACACTCTCCCAAAAATATAAGTTGAAACACGTATAAATGCAAAAGGTACAACGTTATTTGAATTACAACGCTATTTATATTCGTTATTTGTATTGAAGCAGAATTTTTATTAAACATATTTTTCATGCTTTTTTTATTATTTTGTATTAATTTAGATTAAAATTAGGGAAAAACATTATTTTTAGCATTTTAATAATTTAACACTAGAAACTACAGCATGAAACACAGATGTTATTTTCTGCATTCCAAAAACACGCCTCACTTACATACACAAAATTTTCGAATTTGCACTTATTTGCAGTTATTTAGATCTTAGAAAAATAGTTGTAAATCATTAAAATTTCTTTAATTTACACAATGACTCTTATTGATAAATTTTTCAATATGAATGAAAAAAAAATTTTCAAACAACTTTTTTTTTTTTTAGATTTTATGTACTTAGTAGGGGAGAGTGGGGTCAATTGTAACAGAGCAAAAATTTCGAGTGTCGGGTTCTAGATTTGGTTCCTAGGTGGCGCACAAGGTGTATTTAATAAATCTACATGTACACCCCTGCCGGCAACCATTTTTATGTACTTTTGAAAGAGTTGCATCACAAAAGATATTTTCACGCTACGTAAGTACTTTTTTTGGTATTAGAATATTATATTGTAACAAAGAAATTTTGTTTAAACATGTAAAAATTATTAACCGAATATGTAAGTGGATACCTTAATTAACATTTCAAAAAAAAGATTAGTTTTGTTAATTAACTAGCATTGTTTTTAACAAATGAAGCTGAAATGGCGTCTTGGGGATGATTGTAACATTAAGTAAAGGTACGATTGCAACAGCTGAAAATAAATTATCTTATGTTTACAAACCATTACTTAACTCTTTAAGAACCACCGATAGCTTACTATATCATTTATATTATGTTGCACGTGCATTATTTTATTTGTCACCTTTCACAGCATAAATTAAAATGTTTAACCCCTTAAAGTTAAAAGTTTAACCCCTTAGGTCTCTGCTCATTATTATTTTTACTCCTAAAATATCACTACTATTTTGATCAATAAAAAAATATATCACAGCTATGATAATATGTATAATTAGCTATGTTTTAGTTGAATTTATGAACTGTTACAATTGACCCCGTAAGTGGGGACAATTGTAACAAGTGCACGACTGTCAAAAATTGTTAATAACTAATATAATAACATTTAAAATAAGGTATTTTTTTAGTAGAGGATAGTCTACTTTACTCGTCTGTCAATTAATACTAATAATATATTGGATTTTTTGTTAGTTAAAAATAGTTAAGTAAAAAATGTTACAATTGACCCCACTCTCCCGTACAAATAAAATTCTGATAATTTAACAGATTTTTTTAGTAACAACTATACCGTTTTTTTAATTGAAAAAATACCAAAATATAATTATGTTTGTAATTAGAGAGTCAGAAAAAAATATACAAAAGGCACACCGGTTCCCCATCTGCGTCAAAGCGGTTAACGTTCTGTAAACGTTAATTGCGTAGTAAATTATTAGGAAGAAATAAAAAATTTTAACTTTAAAGAGACGTTTACTCAAAACAATGTTTTTTGTGCTAGAAAACGCAATAACTCCTAGGTGTTATATAACTAATGTAGTTTCCGTTGTATATAGTTATTTTATTACTTCAAGAGCTTTTGATTAATTAAATAGTGAAATTAAATATTTAAACAAAGTCTAAGCTTATGTTCAGTTTATGGATCAACGGTGGATCAAGTTCAATCACCGATAATGAGATCCATTAGCCTAAGATTGATAGGTACCCTAATTTTTTGGGACGTAAAGGCGATTGGTGCAAATGCTGACTTCATTGTCACGTCTTTGGTTTCGTAATTGGGGAGCCTTAACCTCCATTTAAGTCGGGGAAAGATGTCGCATTTTTCTTCCTTGTTGCGACAATTTGCGCTCATCGTAAATGCATTATGCAATCTTATTTTATTGTGAACTCTTTCATGTGACAATGAATGTTAAAGATAATTTTCTGCATTCAGAAATTAGTTTTAAGTCTGTACATATTCCAGAGTACGTCTGTACGTATTCCACAGCATGTTTTTAAATAGTATTCTGAATAGAATTTATTTGTGATATACTTTATAGTGGTGTAAAAAGTGATGAGGAATTTTCGCTTAAGCTAAGTTGATAATTTCTAATCTGGCAACATTTAATTTTAAAAATATATAGGAAATGAATAATTTTAGATCAAAATACAGCTATGTATTATTACAAATTATTTTGGTGAAAATGAATATATTTGTTTCACTGAAATGAATTTGAAAAATAATCTAATTGAGTTTCCAATTTTTATATTTATAAACAAAAGTACACAAAAGTGGACTAGTATATATGCGATTAGTGAGGCAAAATAGCCAATCTGATAGTTCTTTTTTTCTATGTATAGATGTTCTCACAGCAGACACACTAAAAAGCAACTTTTTTTCCACATTTAATTTTAAATGTCCAAAAATATACCAGGACAGCTGAGACCCCTGCCCTTCATAAATTTATAATTTAAGAAACTCTTTGATTTAGATATTTATTTTCGCCTATCTCGTCATTTTGGTAGCATTATTCTGAATTTTTTTTAAAAACGATAAAAAGCTCTTGAATACACGCTTACTATGAAATGCAACAACACATTCGATAAAATTGAAATAAAGCTTTTTTTTCTCTGATTATTTCAATATTTAAACTGACCTTCCTTAACCGCTGGTGCAGCAGTTGTAAGTTTTTCTTTTTTGCACCTTTGATAGCAGCTCTCTTTCGAGTTGAAACGATTGGCATTTCCTTGGCAGCCGGTAAATAAGAATTCAATGCAATCTTCCTGCTCTTTGTCGTAATACCACTGAGTAAATGAGCCACTACATGGACCTTTCACCATAGCTAAACTACAAACATCTATAACAGAAAAAAAAAATAATTATAGCATAAGAAATAATTTCATAAAAGCGTTTCTTAGAAATTAAGCTTCCACTACAGAAATAAGATAAACTACGCAATAACTTAATTGAAGAATAAACAAACATATGCAGGATGCACTCTGGCCGAGTGGTATAACCTGCAAACCGTGGAGGTAGGTGGTTCGAATCCCGCTGTTACCCTGTATGTATCTTTGTGTTGTTCTTCTCTGTATTGTGCTATCTGTAATTCTACTTGAAAAAGGTTTATAAGCCTACGTTGAGCACACAGGCCTGCAAATGTATGTATTTCCAGCAAATAAATAAACCAAATATATGCACTTTAACTTCTAATATTTGAACTAGTACGCTTTCTTCTAGTATTAGAACTTTTTTAATTAATTAAAAACTGGAAGAACGCAATGGTAGAATCTATGGTATCTAATCAAGGCATACAATTTGGAAAACAATTAATTACTTCATATTTTTAATTCTTTTAAAGGAAACCAAGGCATTAACAAACAAATATATAGCGTGTCTAGCGATAATGAAATAATAAAGAATCGAACGAGATAAATTAAATTATTATATTTTAAAATTGATAACAAATTTCATCAGCAAATGGTTCTGGTGAACTGGAAAAACAATAAAATAGTGTTTCCTGTCGCACCTCTGACCAGTTTAACGAATAATTTTTCTCATATTTATATGTTAATTTTGTTCCCAGAATGCACGAGGTTGTTACTGCAAACAGTAGTAAATTCGAAAACATTATTTAATAGTTTTTATCAGTTTTCTAGTACCATCTATAGGTGAGTTTCGTAACTAATTTAAGATTTTTGGTAAAAACAACTAACTGGTTTCCTAGTTAGAAAACACCAAATCGCTCTTTTCTATTGTCTTTTTTCCGTGTTCTATTTTTCAAATCATCTATAAATTTTTCGGCACATTATAAACAAAAAAAATTTTCTGCTTTACTGTTAGTAAATATCAGCTGTATCTTTTTTTTCTTTTTCTTTTTTGACGACATTAGTTTATATTTTACTGATATCTAACGGATTCATGACAAAGGAGCTATGAAAAAAATCTGTGATGGAACGATTCAAATAAATTCAGGTTTTTAAAATAATTTAAAGGACATTAAAACAATACTGCTTGCCAATTTAATGACAGCTAGCTCTTCTCAAAATGCTTATTAAAATGGTACCTTGTGCTTGGAAGCATGACGTCTCACACTCTTTCCTTGTTTTAAATCTGTTCTGATTGCCCTTACATCCTCCATAATAGAATTCCTTGCAAACACCATCACTTGAATCATAATACCAATTCACATCAGCTATATTACATGGTCCAGGATCTTGTCCAAGGAAGCAATACTCTAAAAATATTTTTAAAACATTAATTTTATGTATTTTTTCATTTGCAGATCATAAGTGAAAAACTTTAAATTTTTTTAACTAATGCCGAAAAATTACTGTCTGATATAAAATGGGCATTCAATAGTTTGACCAAGAGATACAAAATATACCAAAACGAAGCAAGAGATATAAAATACATTCAGTCCCAACTTTTACATTAGTTGTACTACAGCCGTTGAAAACTATTAGCAAACGCTTCTTTTGATAAAACTCGAATCATATTTGTATTATCAAAAATTTTATTCTAAAGTTACATTAAAATAATTGGCAACAATCTATCCATCCAAAGAACTGTTAAGTTTACAGTCAGATTCATTTCTTTACTTTTACGGGTTTAAAACCGTTTACATCTGGTATAGTTAAAATCCGTAAATACAAAACTATGCAGTTTTGTAGCCATTTACAACCATAATGATTTCAAAATCGCAAAAATGGAATTTAAATAAACATTGGAGTTCGGTTATGTTAGACTTTTCGTTAGGTAATGAGCATTGGAGTAATGTTGCAGTTGAGTTGCGTTTTGTAAAGTGTACCATGGAATACGGCTTAATTTATCTAGTGTTGACATCTATCATGAGAAGAGGAGAAATACCAAACCTTTTAGCAACTCTGTAATGCTAACATCTAAACGCGAATGACAGTCTCGTATTCCAGTATTCCAGGATCACCGATTGAGGAGTGTGGGACACTTGTGTTGACTCCTCATGTGTTGAAGGAATGGAAGAAATATTGCGGTGTCAAAGCTAGGATTCGAATCCACGCTGAAGCGGTCATAAGTTTGACAGATTAACTCTTTCGGCTAAAGCATATACCCAGTTGAAAGGAACTAAATGACTTCAAAAGGTATTCACCACACTCTAGGATAAAAGGAGTGGTGATCACTGACCACAAGGTGCCTAAATATAGCAAATTGTGATCAAAAATTGTTTGCCAGTCGCCAATCAATTGCCAATTTTCTAGTCGAAAAGGCACTCCTTGTGCATTTTATTAGTATTTTTAATATCTTAGACATGAAATTTTCATGGATATTTTGAAATATTCTGAAAATTACGTCATTTCGTGCTTGTTTTTTTTTTTTTTAATTTTTCTTCATTTTAGAAATGAACCTTATAATGTTTACCATATTTTGAGAAATGCTTCAAAAGAAATACCTTCACATTGGTAACAGACTTTTTTTTAATCGTTTAAAGCTTTCAAATTTTGAGCAATCTTTGCCACATATTTTTAAAAGTACCTCTATGAGAAATGTTACAACTAGCAGCTGACCAGAAGCAAAATTTCCAAATTTTGCACCGTACACCACGCACTTATAAGTGCAAGATTATTAGGTATCCTCCGTTGAGTTAGGCATTCGATGACAGAAAATAAAAATCGGAATTCGTCTATTCTGATGGCAATGGATGATTCGTACTCTGAATTCCTATCAAATGACTTAGCTTCCAACTTTCGAATTACGTGCACTCAATTCTCATTGCCGGTGAGCCTAGTTGGCGAGGATAAAATTTAGGTTGTATAACCTTATAAGGTGAAAATAGTCAATAAACGATTTTCCTCATAATTAACATTTTAAATAGCATTTTTTATGGGTATTTGACTGTTTTGGCTAAATATGGTAAAATAATAATTGAATAATTTGTTATTTAATTTTTTTATGAGAAATTTTCTAACAGTGTTAAGCATTTTTGAAGCTGCAATGTTGCAAGAAAACATCTCTCCTTCCTTTTTTCAAGCGTTTAATTCTCTCAAAAACTCAAATTTTTGCTCACTGCTTCAACACTATAGGGAAAAGTGTTGTATCTTGGATTAATGTAAATATTTGTGCCAGCCAGTGGAGGAATTTTTCATTCAGTATATGTAGTTGATACCTATAACAACAGGTTCTATCAGGTTCATTAATAACAATTTCAGTTTTTCTGGTTAAGTGCTAAAAAAAATTTTTTTTTATTTATTTGATGAGTAGTTGTTTCAATTAGTTGATATCAACCACTATGAGTTAATATCAATTTATAGTCAAAAATACAACAACTGGTTGTGCAGTGGACCTTGAATTTTTTCATATTTCAAAGCTTTTTTAAAAAACTGTATGACAGAATTCATTTACAAAAAAATATTCGAATAATATAGTAAAGTATAATGTATTTCCCTTCTGAGTCGTTTGAATTTGTACTTTCTGCTTCTTGTGTTTAATATACCACAATAAAGTAAGAAGATTTCTTAAGTAAAATCTTTTAAACATATAATGTATTTAGAACAGAATGTTCCATTGGTTCATACCTGTTTTAAATTCTAAATCTTGAGGAGGTTCAGATGTAGTGTCCCTTCCACAACGTTTTTCACATTCATAAAATGAAGCAAAATTATTTTCATTTCCGTCACAGCCACTGAACATGAAGCGATGACACTGACCATTCTCATAATCATAATACCAACGCTCTCTAAACTCAGAGCAGGTTCCGATTTCTTGCGGTAAACGACAAATATCTTTTTCTAGATAGGAATACGAAAATAAATTTTAGGGACTAAATGAATGAAATGTACAATTTTTTTTATAACACTCATATCACATTAAAATAAAACCGAACATGATATACTTAGCCCAAATTATTAGAAAAGCATAAAGACAATTATTTTTACAATTTCTTTTTCAAAACTAAGACGCAATTTCTTTTTAAAACTAAACTCCATGATTGTTTTCTTGGTTTGAAATAGCGATTTTCTTCTGACCAAAACACAATTTATTACTATCAAGGAGGGAGACTGTAACGTTTATTTTATTTTATATTTTATTTATAATTTTATTTTTATTTTATTTAGCGTTTTTTTTTTCTTTTTTTTTTTAAATTGTAATGTTGATTTTAAGTTTTCTATTTTCATTTTATTTTATTTTAATTTAATTTTGATGTTAAATTTATTTTTATTTTATTTTTATTTAGCGTTTTTTTTCTTCTTTTTTTTAAAATTGTAATGTTGATTTTAAGGTTTCTATTTTCATTTTATTTTATTTTATTTTTGATGTTAAGCTTATTTTATTTTATTTTTAGTTTATTTTATTTTATTTCAAATTTAATTTAATTTTTTAAATTTTATTTCATATTAACTTTATTTCATTTCAAAACATTTTTAGAGAATATCGCCAGATTTAAGAGTAAATTAACGAAAACACGTGAAATTAACGAAAGGGCAACGAGGCTCTAATTTTTCTTATATCTACTTGGTGCAATTTTTGCCAGCACTCCAGTTTGTGCAAACAGAACTGTTATATTATTGACTGTTATATATTACTGTAACTGTTATGTTACGGGTGATAACAATTTTTTTAATACAGAATAACACTAAAATAAGTAAAAATTGATTTTAAAAGTGTTTATTCAATTAACTTACCTAACAATAATTATTTTTCAGAATTTAATGTGCAAATCGGTAACTCCTATTTCACAGATATTGCCACACCCAGCAGATATCATTGCAAGCAAAAGAATAATGTTAGAAAATTATTTTAATCAAACAGTTGTCTTCAAGATCATTTCATGTTGTATTTCTTACTCACGTTACACTATCGAAACGTATCTGTTTGATTAAAGAATCAAGCGTGAAGTAGAATGTCTGAAATACTAAAATCATAAAGAATCACAATTTGGCTATAAGAAACTTGACTTGGATCTCTATTTTCTTTTAATTACTATCTTTTAAGCATGCTTAAAAGTTATTTTTGCCACGATTATAGATGAAATGTGTTTCTTATTGCTATTGAAACTGAATACACTTCATTTTTAAAGAAAGCTGTGAAATAAAAGTTACCTTGAGACACTGAAGCAACGCATGATTTTTCACACTCGCGTCTTGATTCAAACCTGTTAGCATTTCCTTTGCAACCACCATAATAAAACTGTTCACATCTTTCACTCTTCTTGTTGTAAAACCACTGAATGGAAATTTGCTCACAAGGTCCCTCATCTTTCTCCAAGGAGCAAACGTCCACATCAACTGGCGATAGAAGAAGATATATAATGGTAATTATTATAAATAAATTGTGAAAGGCATTATTTATGCTAAACAACAAAAAATTTCTTTGTAAAATTGAAATGTTTTAACATAGAAAGCTATTTATATTTATATATTAAAAATACATTCATATAAAAAGATATGTAATTTTTTATTAAATATATAATTTTTTATAAGATATATAATTTTTTATAAGATATATAATTTTATTATAAAAGATATATAATTTTCTTATAAAAGATATATAATTTTCTTATAAAAGATATATAATTTTCTTATAAAAGATATATAATTTCATTATAAAAGATATATAATTTTGTTATAAGAGGTATATAATTTTTTGAAAGATTACAAATTTTTACATTAATTTTAATTTTTAGGAACGAAAATAAAAATTAAGTTTATATGCTGGATTAAAATAATGAAGAAATGCTTACAGAGAGGATTGGACACATTTTAATGAAATTAGATTTCGACATAGGCTGATGCAAAAAAATATATAATTACTCAACAGTTAAACGCCACACGTATAAACATGCATAACACTTATCTAAGTAGGTAAACAGAGAGCATTTAATTACAGGATAAAACAAAACACAAAAATGGGAAAATAGGGAGTCTAGAACCCTCTTACAGACAGGACTTGAACTGATTTTCCAGTAATAAAGCAGTTTAAGAGTTACTGCTTAAATTTGTGTCTATTTTCAGATTCTATATAGGTGCAGAAAGAGTTCAGTTATCTTCCCCAGAATGCCCCTGGCAATCTCTATAAAGTTGAGGTCCAGAAAGCTTGTTAGCTATTATCGGGCGAAAAACTTAATTTTCGAAAAAATCGCCGAACAAATGAGCTCTGTGCGAACGTGCGTTTTCATTCATTAATACGCAATTAGGATCAACTGCAACTCTAATAAAGTGAATATACAGTTCCCAGGTTTAACCCTATTTCTCATCTTATTATCCCTTTCAAAGAGAGAGAAATTGGTTACTCTACGGGATGTTGAGAGCATAGACCATCAAACCTCTGATCAAAATGGTCAATTTCTCGGACATTGGCGGGCAGACAGTGGATCCCTAATTAATATGGCTCATGCTTTCGTATGAAGAGTGCCACAGACCCGTTATCTTCCATTCACTATCCAAAAAAATCGTCCTTTTTCGATCGAATATCAAAAAATAGACTTTATCGACCCAAAAAAATCAATCGAAAAATCGACCTTTTGAAATGAAAGTTAGACGATCAGAATAGGCATCATGTTGAATAACCGCACAATCCACCATCTCTTTGAAAGAGGCAAGGTGACTAACATGAAATATGGAAATAATGTCTTGGAACAACGTTTTCGTTTTTTTTTTTCAAGTGAGTAGATAGTCCTGATTTCATTTTAATAAACTATAACACAAGGCTATATACGACTCATACTCCTTTCGTCAGTGATTTTCTTGCAAATATAGATATTTTGCTTATTCTACAGTAAAGCATTTTAACTATGCATGTCTATTCTGTTTCATGAAAGATTTTTTTTTCCGTATCATACTAACGTATGTTCAAATCAAACTTCTTTAAAATTTATTGTCTTCGAGATTTATCTACATAAGATAAACTCCTACAGAAAAATACCGGGATAATTCCCAGACCGTCGCCAATAGCCCATTGTGCAGCTCTAGTGCGACGTAAATTAACAACAACAACAACCTACAGAAAAATAAAATAAGAAAAAAAATTTTGAAAGGAGGAAGAAAAACTTACCGGATGGTTGTAAATTAATGCACTTTTGATCACAAGCTTCTTTAGTTATAAATCTGTTGTTATTTCCGAGGCATCCTCCATACGTAAATGGTTCGCATGACTTTGATCCTACGTCGTAGTAGAATGAAGGTATCTTTTCACTGCACGATCCAGCAGTTTTAGGTAGCAAACAAGCCTCTGAAACAAACAATTAGTATGTAGTTAATTATATAAGATCTATCAAAAAAAATTTGCTGGATAAAAAGTAAAATAGACACAGTGCTAAATGAACATTCCGCTTTGTACTGTATTGAGCTAAATTCAAAGGATTCAGGAAAGCAGAATATCACAGCCTGAAAGCAGAATAAAATAAATGCCTGATATTTTCAGGCTCCACTAGAGGGCGTACTCAAGCGTTGCGATCGCGAATTGTATTTGCAATAGGATTTACATTTTCTGAAGTCAATAAACAGAGTGCATCGGTGAATTGTGCAGTAAATATGATGTCGTAAACCAAAATACTTAACAGCACCTATTTTCTTTCCACGCGATCAATAGATTCAGAGATAGATGACAATTGTATAACTCAAATGAACTTACAACTCACAACTCTCTGACCACGATCCACATGTGAGCTATAAATTCACTCTACTATGGTGTTCACTGATGTATAAACAAGCCATACAGCACACAGGAGAATGCGTAGCACTGTGTAGGTTTCTCGAACTCACTACCCTCTTGTGCGCAGAGTGTGGCTTATATTATTTGTAGCTAGGCGCACATATAATGATGTCATGTGTGGCATGGTTTGTAGTTATTTTATTGTATTTTTGCTAAACACATCCAAGTTCTGATTTTCTTTTTAAGTAAGGAGGCATATACTTTTCTTATATTGAAAATTCTATTTACCTGGTCCTTCGGGTTTGACACAAGTATTCTCACACTCTTCTTGTGTAGCAAAATTGTTACCATTACCATCGCATCCACCATACCAAAACCTTGAGCAACTGCCGTAGTTAACATCGAAATGCCACATCACTTTAAAATCTCGACAAGGTCCGGATTCTTTGGGCTGCCCACACACTTCTAAAAAAGTAAAGAGAAGAAATTTTACGATGTGTTTTTACAAATCAGCTTTAGTTAAATACAGACAATGAAATGCAATTTTATTTTAACGCAAAATAATCAATAATTCACTTAGGAAAAATGGAAAAACAAGTCGGAATTTAAAAATTAGAGAAAGATCACTACAGTTTTTAAAGTTTGCTAATTTACAGAAATACATGATAAGATTGTGAAAAATGTATAACACAATGCTTAATTTTGAGAAAATAAAATTTTCTTACCAGTTGAAATCTTAGGTTTAGGAACAAGAACAGCAGGACAACCTTCATATTTAGGGCCTTTAGCTGGTGTATAACCATCAGCACAACAACCGTAGTACGTTGTATCACAAGGGCAGCCTTGCAAATCAGGTCCTTGAGCTGTAGTTTTACCATCCCGGCAGCAGCCAAATCGCGTTGATTCACATGGGCAACCTTCGTAATTTGGACCTCTTGCTGGTGTTCTGCCGTCGAGACAGCATCCATAACGTTGAGCCTCACAAGGACAATCTCTAAGATCATTCGTTCTTGCAGGTGTGTGTCCATTTGGACAGCAGCCAAAAGGTAAGCCATCACAGGGACATCCAGATAAGTCGGAGCTTGTAGCAGCAGTTTTGCCATCAGGGCAACATCCATATTTAGTAGAATCACAACCGCATCCATCACCTTTTTCATTGAGTCTGGGTGTTCTTCCATCAGGGCAACATCCAAAATACATTAAATGACATGCACATCCCTCGAAGTGGGGTCCTTTAGCTGGAGTTATATTGTCCTGGCAGCAGCCAAAGCGGAAGTGTTCACATTTACATCCGAAATTACTAAAAGATTCAATGCATATTTAGAAGTAAAGACAATAAGAATAAAATAAGTTTATTAAATTTTCAAAATAATTTTTTTAAAAAAAATCCGATAATACGTACAGCTATAATAAAGAATTAACGACCATACAGACGGCCGTAACAATAAGTTATTAGCTTGGACATTTGCAGTTTAAATTTAATAGGAGTTTTATTAAATTTATATAGACCTTATTGAATGAAATTAAATAAACGTTTAGTTCTTAAAAATTCCTTTATTTAATTGTTGGTGTCATCATTTTACTATTTTCTAATGTAAGGCACGTGTGAGATATATCAGAACAAAACCTAAATACTTGTGAAATTGTAAGATCCAAGTTATATTTTATTTGACCATCGCTAACGAGCAGTTTATATAGATTAGAGAACTAGTAGAAGAATAATTCACGTTTTTAACCATCTAGTTTTAAACTCAAGTTAGGAGACAAAGCAATTCAGTCAAGTGTTCTGAAAAAATTATCCATGGAAAGAACTTTTTGAGAAGTGAAGCAAACTGATATTTGCGTTACACGGGGAAAAAAACTTTCTACAGTTCGCTTAACGACAATTTAACTTAATCTCATAGCACTAGCCCGGTGCTGTTAAAACTGTATTAGGTGCAAGCTTATAACTCGATCCCGGGTGGACTGTACCTTGAGCAAATGTTGTAATGAAAATAAATTATTTACGATTAAAGTAATGAGTGTCAAGGAGAACGTGAAGGAGAAAGTGATTATGATATTACACGACGTTCACTAGAGTACGAAAGAATAACAGGTCCTTGAGAAGGAACATGGTGCAAATAGGTCTTGATAACATGGTTTTAAAAACAGGCAAGGAAGATATAAATTAAAAAGTGTCAAAACTTCTAAGTAAAATTATTTATTTCCTGAAATAACAGAAAAATATGAAACAAATTCATGGTATGCAAATCTCACTAGAAAATGATTATTTTGAAGGAGAAAAAACCAACAAAAAAAAAACTATTTCGATAGTTAAAAACCATAATGGTTAAGTAAAAGTAACACAACTATAGAGTGTTGAAGCTTTTTTTATAACATCTACATGTAACGTTTCAAGGTGACACATGAATAATGAAAACTTGAAAACACAATAAGATACAGAAAAGAATAGAATGAAAAATTAACTGATATAAAAAAGGTAGACATTCCGAATTGGGCAAATCAGACCAAAATACATTTGTATGCCCAATGCGGGAAAAGATCTGAAGTGAAATCATTTACTAGTGAATTATTGTCATTGTGAATGCAATAAAACTTGAGGACATCAAATGGTTAGTGCTAATAAATGTATGCTTCCATCGCTACCTCATATTCTTTTGTTTCTTTCGCCCCTCAATTTTTCGTTTTTGTTTTGACAGGTTAATTCGTTTCATAAGGTTTCGGTTTTGAATTGAACTTAAAAATAGTGTTACTTACTTGAAACCTTGAGCTGGAGTGATTTCATCTGGACAACAACCGTAAGGGTAAGTTTGGCATCCACAACCGAGGAAAGTTGGTCCTAATGCAGCTGTTTTGTTATCAGGACAGCAACCAAATCGCATTCCAAAACAACATCCTTGCAAATTTGATCCTAACGCAGTGGTTATTTCATCTGGACAGCACCCGAATTCAGTACCAGCACATGCTGGTGGCTCAGTGGTTGTTGTGATTTCAGTTACTGCTGTTGCTGTTTCCATACAGCCTTCGAAATCAGGTCCATTCGCTACTGTCTCATTATCTTGACAGCAACCGAATTCAGTCTCAGTACAACTAGTAATATTTTCACACCCTTCGTAATCTGGACCTGATGCAACCGTGGTATTATCAGGGCAACAACCGTAAGTAGAATTATTACAGTCTGTTGGTGTACAGCCTTCCCCGTCAACACCCAATGCAACTGTAGTGTTATCAGGACAACAGCCAAACAATGTTAGTGAGCAATTTTCTGATTCACAGCCCTCACCGTTTTCTCCAAGGGCCAAAGTAATGTTATCAGGACAGCAGCCAAAAGTCGAATTTGAGCAATCAATAGGAAAGCAACCTTCGCCGTCTAAGCCTTCTGCTGAAGTAACATTATCTGGACAGCAACCAAAAGTTGAATTTGCACAATTTTCTGGTAAGCATCCTTCACCTTCGAATCCTTTGGCAATTGTAACATTGTCAGGACAGCAACCAAACGTGCTTTCGTCGCAACTTAGTTCTCCATCACCACTGCTTTCATCAATTATGCAACCTTTCTTTCCAGGCCCTGAGAATAAATTTAATTAAAAATATATTATGCCCTCTTATAAACCTATTTATTTTGCTATTTTTAATTTTATTTTAGGAAAAGGAATACAAATATTATCTAATCTAAAAAAAAAGAAATATTAATTAAAATTAAAACTTTAATAACCTTTTAAGTCCCTATTTCAATCTTAATAGATATTTTCACGTAAATAAAAGGGAGGGGGAAACGTGTAAAGGAAAAAAATAGTTTGTTATTCAAAAAACGATCATATAATCTAAGAAAAAAAATAATTAAAATTAAAACTTTACTAACCTTTTAAGTCCCTATCTCAATCTTAATAGAGATTTTCATGTAAATTCAAAGATAAAAAGAGCGTTAAAAAAATAGTTTTCTCATACAAAAAACCATTATTTTCTAAAACTGCAAATGAAAAGCTCTTGAAATTTTTAGATTTTTTTTAAAAATCAAAATAGAGGATTTATCAAAAAAATTCTAAACTAAACATTAACAGTGATAGAAAATTCCTTATTTTTCCGAAAATATGCTTTTTCTCAAAATAACATTAAAAACTATCAAATTTGATTGCTTTGAATAATTGTTTACTGTGTATCGTAAAAGAGAATTTGGAAATTATTTAATATTTGTAAAAAAGATAACAAATTTCCAATACTTAGAAACTAAACGTTGTATGAAGTTGTGCTCAGTTGAGTAATGTTAAGAAAAATGAATATGTTAGCTAACTTTAAGTAATATAAACAAAATAGAATATTTTACTATACCTGTTGCGTAAGTAAAGTCATCATCACAGCAACCAAAAGCGCTTGTTTTACAGGACGTTACATTTTGCTCATCTTCACATCCCTCTTGATTTAATCCACTTGCAGGGGTCAAACCATCTGGACAACATCCGAAGGGTTTGCTGTAGCAATCCTCACCAGAAGATTCAAAATCCTCATCAGTTTTATTCTTACAGCCTTCAAAGTCGGGACCAGATGCCGATACCTTGCCATCTGGACAGCAACCAAATGTTGTATTCTCACAAACAATGTCTGTTGCATTGCAGCCTTCAAATTCAAAACCCATCGCTATCGTTTTATTATCCGGGCAACATCCGAACATCGTGTTAGAACAATCACTGTCAACAGACTCACATCCTTCTAAATCAGGACCAGTAGCTGTGATATTGCTTTCCGGACAGCAACCGAAAGTGGAATTTGCACAGTCGGTTTCATCGACCATGCACCCTTCAAAATCTAAGCCTTTAGCAGCGGAGCTCTGATCAGGACAGCAGCCATACTTAGTAGCATTGCATGGAATATCACTTGGACAGCCTTTTCTAAAAATATAATCAATTGGAATTAGAATGAGGACAGAAACTCTATAGCTTTGATTTGTTATTTGATGTTTAGACCTTGGCATTAAACTTTTTCGCAATACATATTTTTTTGTTTCATTTCTCTTTAATATAATATTGAGGGAGGACAAGGGAATAGAAAAGCAATATCTTTGAACATAAATATTATGTAAACTTTTTGTATCCAAAAATAAATACATGTCAGTTGTTTTAAGTCACTTATCTTTTAAAACTATTAAAACTTCTTCAATCAGACTTTTAAAAATAAGAAAATAAAAAAAATTCTAAAACTTCCTTCTTCAAAGAAACTGATAAAGAAATAAATTTACCTTAAATGAAAAAGTAAGACGCATCACTGTCGAAGTTCTAAGACGCAAATTTTGCGATAAAAAAAGTTTATCGCAAAAGACTTGCGCCCTTGTGTATCAGAGGTGAGACAATAATAGTACTAATTCCTTATTAAAATTTCATAAAAAAGGCAGTAAAAAAAACTGGAAGTAATTAAGTTTAAAATTTTTAAACCTTGTAATTTTAAAAGCTTTATTTCTCTTCTTTTTTGCTTCTGTTAGCTTGCTTATATTAGAAATAAATCAAAATATCCATTATAGATAATAAAAAATAATTAAAAAAAGGCAGATAAATTTTGTTTTAAACATTTAGAGAAAAAAATGTTCTTTCTTTCTTCAGAAAACAAAAAAAGAGAACTCAGTTGAGATTTGAGCATTCTAAGTAGTTAGAAAATTTCAAAATTTCGTCTAATTGGTATCAGGAAAAAAATTCCAGTTGATATTTCATTTCTATGACTACTCAAAATGAGATTCAAATTTTGATTGATTAAAAACTCTCACTTTCGCATTAATTTCATTTTACAAAATGGCATAAATATAAATTTTTTATGGCAAAAACCAAAGGTTTCATGGTTTATGTCACTAAAATTAATTAAGATGTCTTCTGTAAAGTTAAACGTATATTAAGCTCATGTTGTCATGAAGCAAGCTAAAGTTTTGGCAGCCGATCTTAGATGCAATTTAAGCTCAACTTTAATGAATGAGGTATCATTTTGCAAAATCTCATTTTTACTAGGTACTTATGACCAGAAAAAATCTGTTTAGAAATTTCTAGAGTGCCTGCTAAATTGCAAAAATGAAACCATATCTTCCAAAACTAATTGTGTTTTACATTCATGTATCATGTAGTAGCTATTTCTGACAATAAAGCATCCCTTTACGGCTTTTCCGTACTAGCTATTTCTGAAGATAAAGAAAAATTTGCGGTAAAATTTTGAAAATTAATTTCGAAAGTGTCCTTTATGTAGTTAAACGTGCAGCGATACCTTCAAGAACAATTTTGAGTTTTGGCTGTCGATTCAAGAAACGATTAAAGATCAATATATAAGGCATCCCTATGCAAGTAATCACATTTGTAAAAGCTATTTCAGACGAAAAAGAATGTTTCACTGTGAAGTTTTATAAAATTAATTTCTAAAACGTCATCTGTAACTTTAAGCACGTTTCATAAACAATCTCAGGTTTCAGTTGTCAATGCTAAAAACAATTTTAAGTTCAACGCACAATTTTACAAAAAGTCATTTGATAGAAATTATTTATGCTATGCTTGAACATATTTTATTTTAAAACCGGCGCTGAACAGCCGACCCATTTTTAGGCTTATGACTATCATCTTTAACTCCGTTGTCTTGTAATTTCGATCTCAACTCAATAGACAAGAGAAGTCCTGGAAAAAGCTTTGAGACCAACTAGCTTTAGTGGGGGACCAACTCACATTTGCATTACATGGAAAAGACCTCCACTCCTTTAATCTGACGGCAAAGAGATTTCAGCTCATCAGCTTACCACTGAGGATATTTTGCGTCAGCGATATGATTGGTGCGAGCAGAGAGCAGAATTTATAACGACCAGTTATTGCTGTGATTCGAACTTGAGTAACCTCATTGGGATGTGAGAGCTCTATTTCTTGAGACACTGTGACTCTGTTTGGTCGAACGTAATCCTTATCACAGCAAAACAATAACAGAAACGTTATTCCGGCAAATGATTATATATACCTCTGTCAGTTATTGTCTATCACCATACCAAGCCACACAGCTCTGGCAAGGGTGGCAAAGTATGATAGGTTGGTTCGATTGATCAAAAACGTGATTTAAAAATGTATAAAAATACAGTTTACAATTATAGAATTAAAATAACTAGCAGTATGAATAAAAATTACAAACAAAAAGTTTTAATAGCAGTATTTTGTACTTGAATGGTCCTATGGCTAAGGTAAAATTATCTGTACAGCAACCATATACAGCCTCTTCACAAGTTGTGTTGGCACTTATTAAATCCATTTTCGGACAGTCTTCGTCGTTAAAACCAGCTGGTGTTACGCCGTCTGGACAGCAGCCGTATTTAGAATCTTTACAACCATTCAAAACCATTATTTCATCTAAGAAATGAGCAAGATATTAAAAAATCTTATTTTATCCATCCTTTACTATATCTAAAACAATTATAGGAGGGTGCTATGAAAGCAAAATTAAAAAAACTGCACCAGTTCTGCAAGGGGTAACTTGCACAATCATTAATTATTAATTCTCCGACTTCCCATAAATTTAGAGAGCTAAATTTTGGGTAAGGTATTAGAAAGGTATAGAAAAACTAAAAAGGTTTCATTTCTATAATTTGTAATTATCAAGGTAATTAAGAGGTTTTTAGCCTAATTGATAGAAATACTAAACAACACGTTTTTACCGAGATAGAAATTTTAAGCTTGCCTTTATAAGATAAATAGAAAAACTAAAAGGTGACCCATTCAATCCAATTACCACCAAGTGTTTGGCACACCACAGAAGATTCCAGGTCTTGCGATATTAAACTGCAAAGATGTGAGTTTGCACAGGTGGACAACTATGTGAAACGGTGAGGTGTAGCCGAATCAACTGGCAGCTGATTTGAGCTATTGCACTTAAAATGCTTATTTCAAGAGTTCAGAGCAATGCTGCCTAAAAGGCAGCGTGTACCAGCGATATTTATATTATATTTTATAATCGGCACTAATGCAACTGCCAATCCTAAGACTGAAAAAAGTGTGATATTTAAAAACATTCTCAGAGCTGTTTTTTAAAGTTGTCAAATTACTATTTGGAATTTTTGCTTCGCGTTGGTTCCGAATGGATAACAAGTGCTGTTCTGTGTTTAAGTTGGAAAAAAATCACTAAAATTTGGCGAATCATTCGGAAATATTTATTTGCGATCCTTAAGGTGAACTCTTCAATTACTACATTTTTGAAAATGATTCTAAAAATACTAAGAGCAGTGATTATTTTGCATTCTTTATTAGTTTTATCAAAGAAAAAAAATGTAAAGCTTATTTTCGTTTTTCCTACAGACTGTTCATCCACTGGCAGTATTAAACTTCCCTCCCCCCTTTTTTTGTTCAAAATAATTTTCAAATTTCTAAATAGTGTCATTTTATTTGATTTGATCTAATTGCAATATTTATAAGCTTACCTCCATCGCATGGCGTCATATTGCAAGTTTCTTTACTGAAAGGCTCTTCTGTTGGATCGCAATTACTTGATTCAACAACCTCTTCTTCATGGAAACATAAAATTTTTCTTGTTCTTTCACCTCCTCCACATGGCACAGAACACTTTGATGTTAAAAAAGAAAGGAATTGAACAAACGAACAGATAAATTAAGAGAAAAGAAGACAACGACAAAAAATTGTTTCATTTTTCTAAATGTAAAGGGTATAATGCTCTACTATAAAAAAAAATTCTATCTGATAAAAATGCAAATTTTTGCAAACACTCTAAACCTAAATTTAAATCTGATGCATTTTTACATTAAAAAAAAAGAAATATTAATTCATCGGTACTACTCAGCTTAGGAGGTCCCTAAAAATCCTCAAAACTATGATTGAAGCAAGTCATATTATTGACATTTTATAAAGCGAGTATAAAGAACTACCATTTTTTCCCTCTAATTTTTAAAGCTATAAAACAATTTAAGTCACCTTAATTTTAAAAAAAAATTAAGACCAGGATCTAGATTCCCTAGACGTAAAAGTACAAATTCGACAATATATTCACTTCGTGTCGTGGTGTTTCAGGGGATAGAGCGCTCGCCTATCAATGAAGTAAGCCGGATTCGAATCCCAGGGAAGGCTGGTCGCTACGAATTCCTCACCCGCTCATTCTGACGTAAAATATCCTCAGTGATAGACGGATCATGGGTTAAATTCCCCTTGCCATCAGGCTAACCGGGGAGGTTTTCGCGGTTTTCCTCTCCATCTAACGCAAGTGAGGGTTAGTTCCACCAAAAAAGCCTTCCACGAAGGAGTTTCCAATACTTGATCCAGGATTTATCTTGTGTTATGGATTGAGTTAAAAATTACTATGCTACCGGAGTTGGACATTGGTAGTTGTAAACTCAAAATTGGGTAGGCTGTTTAACTATGGTTATAAAATAAAATTTATTCACTATGAGCCACGATAGCTTACGGTATAGAATCGTCTCCCAATTTGATGTCCCAGGTTTGAATCCCAATGGCGGCAGGATATATGAATTCTGCTCCCGGTTCCCGTCGACCACAGTGCTTGCACAAAATATCTTCAGAGGTATATGAATCCTGCGTTAGAATCCCCTTGCCGTCAGGCTAACCGAGTGAGGTTTTCGGCGTTTTCCTCTCCACGTAACGCAAGTGCGGGTTAGTTCCTCCAAGAAAAAGTCCTCCAAGAGGACAGGTTTCTTCCAAAGCTTGATCAAGGAGTTCCATTGTGCTTTGGATTGGGTTCAAAATTACAAGGCTGCCGGAGTTGAACATTGTTATAAACTCAGAGTTGGGGTCAACCGTTCAATGACGGTTATAAAATTAAAAGAAAATATATTCACTCCTTTGCCATACTTGACATTAAACATATTTTAGAATTCCATGATGTATAGAACGAGTATGTTCGAGTTCTTCAAATAAAACCATAAAGAAAAAATTTTCCAATTTATTAAAGATTTTTTTTTGTTTCTATTCAAATTTTTTTGCTGAGAACATGATATATATAAATGTCTATTGAGAATCTTAGATCATTACAAAGGATTTTTCTTTTTGAAGTCCTTCATTTCAGTAATGTCACACATAAAAATATGCTATAAAAAGAGTAAACGTCTTTTCACTGACCAAATGCTAATATTTTGCTTTGATATCATTATTAGCAGAGTTGCCAACGGTATTTCTCCTCTATTATTTGTTGGTTACATTGCTCTGCAATCTGCAATTCGAACTTTTGCATTGACAAAATATAGTATAATGCATGTCAAATGTATTAATATCAGTAGCAGTTATTTTTGATGCATAATGTTTGCGACTACCAAGGAATGACACCAGGAAGATTGATAGAAAAAAAAACACGATAATCAGTTACAACTACTACCTTCACTATTAAAAAAAAGTTTAAGTTATTAATGCAAGCAGAACAATTTTTATGACCGCTTGCCGGATGATTAAAAAAAAAGAATAAATCGAAAGCGTACTAACACTATTTTTTAACATTGAAAAGAGGAACTTATTCGTATGTTTTTTCCCCAATCACTTAAATTTAAAAATGTTGTACTTTAAGCAGATATAAATTTCTGAAACATGTTATTATAACATGTATTTTGTATAGTACATTCCTTTAAAATGCATATATGTTCCTTTGTATAGTACATTCTATTTATGGTACATTCCTTTTCTGTAGAACTTTCCTCTTCTTTAGTAGGGGAGAGGAGGGCACATGTGAACAAATTTTTTTATTTCTTCATTTTTCGAAAAATACCATCAATTTCTCACAGTAAAGAAGTCCATATGTTTAAATAGTCTTTTCTTTGTCTTATGGAATTTTTTGAGATTTTTAAATAAAATATTTCTTTACTTTATGATATTTTAGAAAAATGACTTCAATTGTTCACATGTGCCCCTATTGGGGGAACATGTGAACATTCCTGGGGCACATATGAACAAGATTAAAAACACAAAGCAATCATCATATTTCAAGGAAAAAGATCTTTAATATAACAGATATAGATACGCATTATACTGAAAGGGTTATAGCTTACTATGTGAATTTAAATTGTACAACAGTACTGTCAATAAGAAAATAATTTTTCAGCAGTACAATAATTTTTCAGCTGTTGGGTTTTTCGCAACTTCATGTTCCCCAGGAGTTGTAATGGGCCTTTTTCTTTCTTCTCTAATACTCTTTTAAGGTTTTTTTTTAACATTTTTTCTATCTTTTCATTTGTAGCTTTAGCAATTCTATCTTTCTCAGGTGTATCAGTTAATATGCGTGACGCGCGATCAACCATTTAATAAAAAAAACTTTTTCAAAGAAAAAATTAATAAATTCATTATGGAAAATTAAATAATAATAATTTTAAATGCATACATATTTTTTAAACTTGTAATATCACGAAGATAATAATCTTAATACTATGTAAAGGCACATGTGAACTGTTTACATCTGCCCCAGATGCTTTGTTCACAAGTGCCCCATCATTCTTCTTAAACCTAACTTGAAAAATAAAGAATTTTTAATTGAGTAAAAAAAAGGAATAATTGTCATAAGCGTACCTGAATGTTCATATAATGGTCTGCAATAGTTAATTTTAGTTTATTAGTTGATTTATACTATGCTTTCACTTGAAGAAGCGAGTGATTATAATATATACAACACCAGCTGATACAAAGAAATTGTCAGAATAGAACAACAAAATGCTTCATTGTTCTGAAAGTTTTGCAGAGAGGTAGAACTAGTACTACCATCAATTGAAAATTTTTCAAGATTTTTTATTTCAAATCATACTGGTAAAACATCCCATGTTCACATGTGCTCCCTCTCCCCTACATTCCTTTAAAAGCACTTCGGCGGGGCTATTGAAAAACACGCAACTGACTTCGATGGTGGAGAACTTGAGGGAGGGGAGTTCGATTCTGGCAGCTGAGTAGAATTAAAACAACCGGCTTGAAGGTGCACGTTAAATCTGTCATGGCTGAAAGTCCACACACTGGTTGTGGCGTGATTTGGGGGGGGGAGAAGGGTACCAGTTCAGATATTGTCCACGGCGGCAAAAATTACGTTTATTACCATAGAAGGACCACCTTCTGACTATTGTAGTTATTGCGCGCAGGTCGTCAGGCTACCAAAGCGTGGAGGATAAAATTTGAGATGGCAAGTCTTCGGATCATCTTCGGGGATGTTTCTCTGACCCACGCCAATAGCCCATTGTGCAGCTCTAGTGTAACGTAAATAAATTACTACTAAAATTGTCATTAAGAGACAGGTCCTGAAAAACATTGTTTGAACATGATTGGCTGTTCTATGTCCATTCTATTAATGTACTTAGGCAGTTCTTATAAGCTATCATTCTGATCGTTCTCAGGCTTAGTTTTCCTTTGCGGTTCTGGCAGAGTTTTTATTTGACTATTCTCATAATAAATGTTCTCATAAAAAATTTTACCCCCTAACTTTTCATTAAATATTCTCATCATTTATATTTAAATTGTTGTTGATGTTGCTTCTATTGCCTATTTGCCATGCCAGCAAACCTGCTTTTGAAACCAAGCAAATTTAAGGCAAAGGGTTTCTTGCTTTACAGTGGCACCATCTATGGCCAAGAATACGATTTTAACCACATACACAAGTCACAGCCTGTTTTGCAGGGTGGACACATTCAAACATCCATTCGTTCATCCACGCATCATGATTTTGACCCGAACATAGAACGATCTATCTTCAATTCAGTACCCCCAGAGGTCTTGATTAGTTATAGAAACTTTGAGGACTTTGTGACCCCGACAGATTTAACGTGCACCACTCACCATTTAATACACGGGATTTCTTTGGTCGGTGGGATTCGAGCTTCCGTTCTCACGCACACGTCTAACGTCCTACTAACCACTCTATCCCGGCCCTAAACTTGAATTAAATCGACTTGTTAAAAGCAAAACAGAAAAACATTCAGTAATGATTTTTTTTTTATTAATCATGTTGTTTAGGAAATAAGAACAAGTTCTCTAAATCGAAAGAGATATTCACAATTAAAACTGGCATCACAGTTAACGTATTCATTTATTCAAGTAAATAAATAATCTGAATTTAAGTTTCACATAGAGGCGAAATGAAAGTGAATGTACCAACTGTCCTCTCCGAAAAAAACATAAGTATAAATAATTAAAATTAAAAATTTGAATTTTCTTTAAAAAAAATTTCTCAAGTTCAAAGTTCGTACGAATACTTAAGAAATGATAAATTAGTTTTTAGATCTAAATTGGAAGCACAGAAAAAATATTCCTTTTTAATGTGAAGAAAACATGGTCTATCATGGTCTTGTTTTATATAATCTGATTAAAATTCTAAAAGGTGAACTGCAAAATTTACTCACCCTGTTCCAAGGTCCAGTAAACCATGTAGCTTGGCAGGCTTCTGATGAGCAATTTTGCATGTCGTTGAATTTTTTAGAGGGATCACATTTATCTTCGTCAATTTTTATAACAGTATTATCTTCCCATGCACCACAAAATACAACCCGGCTCTGCACACCACTTCCACACGTCACAGAACACTAGACATTAAGAAATAAACATAATTAAGTACCGTGAAACCTCCTGGAAAGACCACCTCTATGTAGCGACCACTTTTTCCGTAGACTTTATGTTGAAGAAAACCTTTAGGAGAGACCATTAAAAGCTCTGCGCCAAATGCGGAAAAGGGCCACGAAAAAACAATAAACAATAAAACCACACGAAAAATATCAAAACAATATATATTAATAAATCAAATAAGTAGATTAAAATGTGTTAAAACTATTTGTATGAGGCTTTTATTTGGAGGACTCTTTTGGAGGATCTCTGAAAGAGATCAAAAACCTCATGTTCGGGTTAAAATGTACTAAAGTCGATCCTATCAATCATTTATTTTTAGAGTTGCTAAATTAGAAAAAAAATGTTTTAGGAAATGTTTAGGAAAATGTTTTAGGAAAGCAATCTATAGATACGTCCACTGTTTTCCTTAGTTCACTACGGTCACTACAACCATCACTTTTTTAATTTAATGAACTCTGGAGCAACTGACTGATTCCACGTGTCATTATTGTGAATTGCTTCAAATTGACAGGAAAAGGTCATCAGAAGTTGTGCTGAAAATATAATGTTGTTGTACCACAAAATTATACAGGACAGAAAATCTTTGATGATTACAGCGTTACCGTACGTTCGGCCAAACGGTGTAAAAATATTGGAAATCAACAAGACGCAATACGTAAAATAACAAACAGAGGCAATAATTAATTAAATCTCTACCTTTATTAGCACATTTTCCACTTTCTCAGTCCAACATAGTGGTTTCACAACGATTTTTAACTTTTTTTTTATTGTTTTAACAATAAGTTTTTCAGAACATTTGTAAAATTGTTTTATTGATTTCCGACTAAGAAATGATGGTATCATTAAACTAACATTTCTTACTTACTAAAAAGAAACAAATAAAACTTACATCCGTCCATTCAGATGTATGCCACATAGCTTCGCACATGGTAGATTTCGGACATGATCTGGTAAGTTCTGGAATTTTGTTTGCGTCACAAGCTTCGTTAGGGAACACAACTCCGTCCTCTGTTGCACAATGCACTTCTCGAGATTCCATGTGAGGACTACATGATCCATCACACTAAAAAATAAGTTTGCTTTATATCACAGATGATCAACAAACAGTCTGAATAAGAAAAACATTTTTGATACCCAGTACTTATTGAGTTATCTTTGCTTTAACCATTGAAAAATTTTCAAAAGATTTTTTTTTATTGTACAACAAAATGCTTATTTGAGAATATTTTTTAATTTTATTCTCAAATTTCAAATTTACACTCTCTCAAAACTGCATTTTGTAAAGTTCATTACACACGTACATATTTTCTTAAGTTCTTAACTGATTTGATTCCAAATTTAACTTCATACGCGTCATATGAAGGCCTTTTTTAATATTGCACTTAATTATTAATTAATTAAATTATTAATTCTCATTTTATAGAATTGTCTTATGAGTTTGTAAAATGAAACTGAAAGAGAATTTTCTTTCGACAAGCAATGTTTTTTTTATGATTTTAATTCTATTTTTACTTAAATTAATTTTTTTTTCTCACGATAGTTCAACGTTTCTGTCCGATTCCTACTTTCGAGCAGAAACATTTAATTTAAAATTTTTCTTTCTCACAATTTCTTTCGTTTCTGGGTAACGTTTCTAGGCGATTCCTATTTCTTCGCCTGGTTGACAAGTTGCCTAAATTGCCTTCTCATAATAGTTAGCGTTTCTAAGCGATTCCAATTTTTGCCTGGAAACGTACGAATTGGTAAATTGCTTTCTCAAGATAGCTTGCGCTTCCAGGCGGTTCTGCTGGAAGCGCAAGATTTGACACATTCCTTTATTACGATGGCTTGCTAATCCTAATTCGTAAGTTTATTCTTGAGAATGACTTATTATTATACCTGCTAGAAACGCAAGATTTGACACATTTCTTGATTACGATAGCTTGCTATTCCTAATTCGTAAGTTTATTCTTGAGAATGACTTATTACTATACCTGCTAGAAACGCAAGATTTGACACATTTCTTTATTACGATAGCTTGCTATTCCTAATTCGTAAGTTTATTCTTGAGAATGACTTATTACGATACCTCAAAGCATCGATGTTTCCTTTTGTTACACAGTAAAAAATTATAAATATAACTTATTTTTTGAGCAGAAACAGAAATAAAAGTTTATCTTCTATTTCGTTTGTATAAATTAAAGCAATCGAATAAGTTGTCTAGTTCATATTAATATTTAGAGATTAGAACTTTAATAGACAATTATGAAAGGATTTACCCCACTCCAGTCAGAAACTATCCATTCGACGCCTTCACAGGGGCCCAAAGTGCAACTTTGGTGTGAGCTAGGTTTCCTTTCGTCGTCACACTGAGAACTGTCTACAGTCTTATTATCTTCTTTAGAAAAACATTCAACTTTTCTTGTCTGGTTGCCAGAGCCACATATTTTATCACACTATTGAAAGAAAAATAAACTGATTCAAAATGGAGTGATTGAAATAAATACTGAATTGTTGTTAAATATTTCTGAAACTTCTAACTACCGGAGGATTTCTCCATGTACAGTGAGTCAAAAAAATATCAACCTTAAAAATTTTGCTCAAGTGATTGGATTATCGTGTACTAAGTACTGCCTTAATAATTTAAATAGTTAATTTCTAATTTGCTGATTAATTAGTGCTAACTATTAATTGAGTTAAGAACAAGACATAAAAAAGTACTTTCATTGTATAAACCAGGGGTTTTCAACTTACTTGAGGTCGGGGGCCGCAATTAAAAACACCAGTCAAATGGCGGGCCACAACTTCATCAAAATTTCATGTTTGAGGGAACATTAAATATTACTGTCAGATTTTTATCAAGTTGTACAAAACAAAAGTATTGAATTACAAATAATAATAAATATTTTCTTGAATTAATATTTTCTTGGATGCAAAACCTGAGAAATAAATTTTTTGGCACCGTTGGTACGTTAAATTTCACAGAAACGAAGAAATTAGGGGTTTTTTTCAACAAAAGAAAATTATTTTTAACCCATAATTATTTTGTGACCATTAATTTGTGAGCCATAATTAACCATTAATTTGTGAATTGTATGCACTTTCAGTTTTTACGAGAATTGTCATCAAAAAAATGACAACTAATATATTTTAGTTCGCGGGCCACAAAAAAAGGCTTCGCGGGCAGCCAGTTGGAAACCACTGGTCTAAACATATCTGCGGGACACGACATGGATGGAAGAAGACTGTCATCAACGCCTATTTAAAAATTTGCAGTTATGCCCAACGACACTTTATGATGTGTTTAGAAGTAGCGGCATAAACTATGCACTATTAATAATACGCGTATTTTCTTTAATAGATTATTCTAGGAAAACATTACTATTTATTAATTATTAATATATAATTATTTATTAACATATTTATTTATTTTCTTCTAAGAATCTGCAGATTTTTTCAAAACAGATACTTCTATTTGAAAAGGGTAACTTAAATCTCTGAAATAGCATCTGTAATTATTTTGCTACTTTAATTGAAGAGTTTCATGTCAGAACGTATTAAAAGTCATTTTCAAAGCAATCAAATCTTCAGTATTAAGAAAAAAATTATAAAATAACAAAATTATAATCTTGAAGTAACATAACCTATTTTCAAAAGCTTTACGCTTGCATAAAAAAACGATATTGCAAAAATAGTAAGTGCACATTGCAAAAATTTTTAAAATATATCAAACACAAAGCAGTCACTTTAAAACATGCACAGGGTGTTTTGTAATGACCCCTTAAAAATACATTTTGAAATTCTTGGAGTTTTCGTTATGGAATTTTGATTAGAATGTGTAAAAAAAATTTCAATTCGTTTGAAACGTTCTCGAGATATGGTGAAATACGCCAAAAGTAAAATTAACATTAAGGAGTCAAGACTTTCGATCGCTCTCTTGATCAAACTATAGGAACCATATTCCCCAGATTTCGGCTACCCCCTATATTTTGAGTGTCTAAAATCCGAATCAGTCAAAAAAAGGTTTGTTTATTCGGAGGAAGCAAGTTTTTGTGTCTGATTTCGTAACTTAAAATATCGTTTGCACCAATTAGATAGGCTATTTGAGATCACTCCCTCGAATCATTAAAATTGAGTCCTAGAAAGTGAAGATCCAATCATTAGATCAAAACATATTTAGGGTGGTCCATTTTTTCTTTGCACTATACATTGGATACATCGTGTCAAAATTTCGCATTCCTTGCACTAGTGGCATTATACTCTTTGTAAATAGAATAGTCAACTAACCGTTGCGTGATTTTCTCCCTCTCCACATATTCCTCCTTTCGCTGCCATGAATATGCAAAGTTTGCTTTTTTTACGGCAGTATATTTCAGTAAGAAGTGGGAATAAACTGCCGTGGTTAAAAAGTAAGATTTGCAGATACCATGCTATCTTAGAGATTAAAGTGTAGAGAGAGGGTAGATCACACAACGTTGAGACGACTACTCAAATTACAACTAGTATAGAAACAAGGAAACAAGGTAGACGATACACATGTTCCTCATCACAGATGCCCCAATACACGCATTAAAAGAAACTGTTATATCTTACTGGTCTCGGCAATGACAAGAACTTACCTCAGACCAGTCTGCAAACGTCCATTCTGGACATTCAATCTCGACATCACATGCTCTCATGAAGAGTGGCTTAGGCGTATCACACTGCTCATCAGGTACCAAGATGTTGCTCCCTTCTTTCGTTTGCTGACAGAAAACGAGACGAAACTGAGTACCACCACCGCAGGAGTGGCTACAAGGACTCCATTCGCCTATCTGCCAACTAAGACAAAAAGATATTCGATGATAACAAATAGACCAAGAGACTATTAGACAAATAATAGTTTTGATCTGAAGAAAAATAAAGGTAATTTTTTAATGGTTAAGAAACATGTTTGGTAGTACCTTTAATTATACTGCGTTATTGTTTTTTTTAATATTCCCTTTACTTGTACTTTTATAGTTACTTGTAAAAATAAATTTATTTTAGTACCAAGTTTCAATTTTTTCCACTTAAATGTTTTTCTACAAAGCTCTTCCATAAAACTTTTTCAAAAATTTATGATAATAAATTTTTAAAGTGCAAAGTTTAGTAAATAAATTTTTATTGTATTTTATGTATTAAATGTTATATATAACTTCTATAATTACAGTGGTATATATACTCTTTTAGATAAAAGGGTTTTCTGCAAATACCAAGCTTAATAGATGTGTTTTAGAATCCTGTCCAAGTATGAAGTCAAATTTTTATACACTTTAAGGGACCAAAAATTAATATTTGAGTAAAATAAGAAATAAAACATTTATCGAAATCTTTCGAATTCCTAGCGAGGAAGACCAGATGGAATATGTCATTACTAGTTTGGTTGTCTGATAAAAGATAGGCATTTCTAATAATCGCCTTTTAACAACTCTTAGCTCCTCAGCCAATTAAAAATGTTTTGAGTTCTGACTTCCTCAAAGGAGATTTGCCAAATTTCGATAAACACTTTAGTTTTTTCCTGACTTAAATTAATTAACTGACGTATAATTTAATGAAATCCAACAATACTCTTCATTTTCAGATTTTTGTCAAAATATATATTAATATATATGTTTATAAAATATGTGTATTACTATATAATTTTGATAAAATATATATTTTATCAAAATAAAATATATATTAAATATTATTTTTTCCGATTTGTACCTATACTTTGGCTTGCATCTTTTAATCGTAACTTTTTCTATTTTGTACTTTAACTAGAATTTTCGCTTTTTGCTTGTTACTTTTCAAAAACTGCATTTTTTCCTTCATAGTTGGTTCATTAAATTTAAGTTCTTGCACTTGTTATCCGTTACTTTAGAACAGTAACGTTTCCATACAAACTCTAAGAAAATCAAATTACTCATTGCATGCATTCAAATAATAAGAGTTCTCTTTTTTTATTAAGTTAAAATAGTTTTTCTTCTTTTTTTTAAAAAAGAAAATTCGACTTTAGCTGGTTTAATGGATTTTAAAAAACTCTTACAGAGAGCTAAAAGACAAATATTTCTGCGATAACGAAACGCAATGTAAGTAAAAAATAAATGTATAATATTTATACTGAACATGCTCAATATCGTTTTGTTTAATGGAATTGTGACTATTTAAAACGATAAAATAAATAAAATGGCTAAGTCAGATTTTTTTAAATTCTTAGGATTTAGGATTTCCCCTATCATTTCATGGAGTTATTTAATAAATTTTCAAATGAGTACTAAATTTGATTATTTACAGTCGATTTTATGTATGATATGCAGTATTTAAGTATTCTTTTTAGACGGTAGGAAGGAGTCCCAACAAAAGATTAAACATTTTAGTCCAAATAAAATACTATTTTTTTATTATTTAATGCTGAAAATATTATTTATCCTAAATTTAAAATATTTAAATCGGTATAATTGTTCCTTTAAGCTCTGTTGACACATTTATATTCTTTTGATATAATTTCAGTTATTCAACATCTTATATCCCCTTTAGAGCTTTTGGTAATCGTGACCTTGTTATAATGCTGTTACTCCTGTTACATAATTGCTTATGTTACACAGCAGTTATCTTCAATAAAGGAGCTAATTCTCATTGGCAAACAGGAAATCAGTGGAAATGGGAATTAATGCAATTATAATGAAATTCAATGATGTTTTTTGCCTAAAATAGACATGAAAAAATGGCACATTTACTCCATAGGTTTTTCAATGTATAATAACAACAGCTCTGCTTCTGAGTTAAAATTTCAATACTAGAAAAAGAAACTGAGGTTTCATTTTCAAAATATGTATTTTATTCTCATCTATTGGAACATATTTAAATAGATTTAAATTAAAATAAATAATTTAAAGAAAAGCATTTGAGAAAAGAAAATATGAAATATTAACCTGGCGGAGCAAGGTTGTGTATTACAAGAACCATTGACAGATGGCTTTAAAGTCGGATCACACAGTTCATCCTCTATGACATCTCTATTACTGTTAATACAACGTACAGGTCTGTGTTGCACTCCTTAAAATATAGAATATACTTGTTAATGTTGTTTGTTCTCGTAAATTACAATAGATGACAATATTATTTAATTTCTAAAATTTTGAGAACAAAGAATGCATGTCCACTTTTCATATGCATGCTTTGAATATTTTAAAAAAAGCAACATTAGGGAGTGCGATTAAAGGAGGCAAAACAAAAAACTTTATCAAGCTATGGTGATTTATTCTCTGGGATGATAAACATAGAAAGGAAAAATTACATTACTTGAATATTAATCTATTCAAAGAAAGAAAAATGCCTGTTCTACTATACAAATAAACTGGAATTTTGATAATATATCCTCCTTTTTTGTTATAATTGACCTGGATAATGTTTTGGCAAAGTTTGAAAACGCTTTTGTTTCATTTTAATATTGGTTATTAGTCTACGACTTTAACAATGCATTGTTTTCGCATCCATTTTACTAAGTTTCTTAAAAACGCTTAAAAACGCTTTTGTTTCATTTTAATATTGGTTATTAGTCTACGACTTTAACAATGCATTGTTTTCGCATCCCTTTTACTAAGTTTCTTAAAATGTTTACAACTCCATATGGAACACTTAGGCAAAATAAAATCCTTTTAAACATAATTATAAATCTTTGTTATAACAATTGTTACTGTTTCCATGGAGTGACTTTAAAAAATGCTTATATTAAAATAAATTCATTTATTCAAATTTTTATTTCATAGAATATCACATAAACATGTTTAATTAAACTTGATATTAGCATACTATTTGTTACATTAGTAAAAATTTCAGAATTCAGTTCATCTACTAACATATTTTTTTAAATGTATTGCAGAGAAATGAGTTAAATGATTCTTTCATACCTCCACCACAGGGCTGAGAACATTCTTCGAAATCCCCAAATGTCCAGGTATAGGAATCAGGAAAAGAAGTTTTAGTTGTTGCAGGTATTGAATATTCATAACTGATGCCAAGATTTTTCTCCTGATACAACAACTAAAAAAAGAATAAAAATCAATCCTCAAGAAGTAATATCTGATTGCAACGTGCATTTATCGCACTTTTTATATTTACTTAATAAGTATAAAATGAAAAGTTAAGTTTTAAAAAGTTTATTTTTTGTAATTTTTTGTCACAAAGGACTATACTTATATGCATTGCGTTAATCAACGACATTCACTACCCAAGGAGGTATTTTCGCGCTTAAACAGCGGCTTTTAAGGTTTTTGACTTCACATCTGACAAGTTTTCTAAATATATACATTAAGGGTGGCTATTAGGAAACATCTTGAATAATTTAAAAGTATACTTATTCTAAAAATATTTTTCATTAGAAAAAATGCGGACTCATTGGTCAATAATTTCTCTTCCAATTTTGTTTAGAAATTTCTCCTCCATGCGCAACTTTCTCATTAAGTATTAAAGTGTTTTCCTGGCAGGGTGATTTGCCCTTCAACTTGTGTCCAGCTGGACACAAGCACTGGAGCCTGGAGATATCGGGATCTAATCCCATCATTACTCTAGATATATCTTCGCGATGTGTGATGTCTTTCTCAGCTTGTGCTATCTGTTATCTTACTTGACATGACATGGGCTTATAGGTCGTTCATCATTAAGAGTAAACAAACCTGCTTATGCATATCTAACAATGAAATTAATTTAATTAATTAAACAATAAGAGGGAATTTTCTGCCGGAAAAAAATAATTTTCGCTAGGAAAACAACAGATGAACAAAGCAGCAGGAAAAACAACAGATGAAATTGCGTTTTTAGTTGTATCAAACGAATTGACTTAGTAGAAACTTAACTCCAACTAAGATTGTCTGTTAGTACATCAGTTGGCGATTTTATAATGTGAAAGTGTTTTAATAATCAACTTTACCTTTCTTATTTTTCAAATTTCTAATATCTAAATTAGTAATAAGTTTTTCACAAAAGATAACACTGTTTTTAAAATCCCAAATGCAAAGCGAGTGAAACATTATTATTAAGTAAGCAATTTTTTGTCGCTAACGCTTAACATGATGTATTAAAAAGCTTACTTACAACAATGAAAATTGGTTCAATGGTTGGTCCTTTAGCTCGAAGTATTTCTGGACTCGATCCCCTTATTTTCCGTTCATAATGAAATATTGTTCCAGCTAGTCTAATTTCACGAGGATATTCAATCCTCCAATTTCCGTTGAGATAAAACTCTCCTGCTGAATTTCGAATAGCTGAAACGGAATTTTTCAGTGCAAACATTATTATTTATGTTGATCCATTATATATAATTCATTTATGAGCGGAAATTATAATCCATGACTGAGGTGAAAAAATCGTATTTAATCATATTATGCCGAAAACAATTAGTTTTCGTAAAAATCAAATTTTTCAACAAAATTAAATAAAAATAATAATAAATAAATATTTTAGTTGTTAAATAAAGTTTGGAGATTTCTGTTGGAGCCCTGAACTTTTCACTCTATCAATGTAAGCCAAAGCTGTTATATTCGATCTAACCATCTACCTTATTAACTTCAAGTTTTTTTTTTTTTAAACAAAAAACTAACTAGCTAAAAACTAGGTAATTATAAAAGGTAATAGTTTCGAGAAAACCTTTTTAGCATTTTAAAACAGTATGAAAGCCTTTAAAATATTTCCAATTTTCCATCATTTAGGAAAAAAATTAGTAGAAAAAATTGATTTAAGCTTACAGACAAAGGCATTTTATGAGAAGCATTAAACAACAAGAATGCAAAAGAGGTGAATACATTAAAAGAACGAAAACAAAACTGTCTTTTTTGTACGAAAGGCGTAAAACTTTGATTTAACTTTGAAAGAATAAATTCTTATGGAACTCTATGGAATATTCTTACAATAGCTCATCAGTAATTCTTTTTGCATTGAGTGCCTTATACAGATAGAATGTCGTTAATGTTTTTAAATATAGTATTTTTAAATATAGTATTTTTAAATATATTTATCTAATCGCTTTTACGTGTATTCAGTGCACATACAACAGAAATAAAAATGAAACTTAGATGATTTACAATTTTAAATAATTCGAAATTTGATAGTTTTTCTCCCTTTTTAATATTTTTTAGTTTTAGTTTTACTTTTACCTAATAATTGTAGTTTGAATTTTATTAAAATAATGATCTCTATATGCTGATTAGCACTAAAATATAAAATAATGACACACTAAAATATTCACTAAGCAAAATTGAGTATTTGGGGGAATAATTATATTTATTTGGGGGAGTACACTTCTCAGGGAAAATATTCAAATTTCATATATCTTATTCGAATAAAAACATCAAAATTATAAAATATAATAAAATAGATAGTTTTTCAATTTTATTTAACGTTTTGATCTATCGAATTGTTACATGCATGCACATATAAAACTAGTACTAAACTTACCTATATAGTTATTAGTAGGCTGTACTTCCTGAATGAATATTGATGTTGCTCCAATTGGAATCAATAAAATATCATTATATCCTATAAAAAAAAATCAGGAGAATTTATAACTAGCTGGTTTTGACATAGAAAATGTAGGCATAACAAAGGTAAACAAAAGCCAGATAATATCTATTAAAAAGCTAACGAGAATGAAAATTTAAAAGCAATTCTCGATCCAGTTAACTGATCAAACTTAAATGAAGCAAAACCTTTCTTATTTATTTGTTTGTTGATTAAATAATACTTTCGAAACAATTTTATTTTTAAATTTTTTAAAAAAAGTGAGTTATTCAGGTAAAACACTTTCTACTAAAGCTTTCTGAGGTGCACAAAATATCGGATGCTCAAAATTAAATCAAATTTCTTATCAACAGAGTTTTAGTTATTAGGCTGTAACTAAAAAATTTAAATAAAAACAAATGTGAGAATTGATACTATTTAAAAATATTAAGCAAGCAAATTTTTGCCAAACATTTTGGTTCCATTTTTTTAAAATCAAATACTTTTTAATGAAGTTATTCAAAGGAAAGGAGCTCTCATTTTCAGTTATGCTTGCTTGCCTACTATATTTACCATCTTGATAACTTTCAGAGCACTTTATTAACCATCCTTTAGACTAGAGGGTCTATATGCATTAGGAAGTATTATAAAATATCCGAGAATTCAACTAAACTCTTTGCAATTTTTCTTGGAGAAAAAAAAAACAGTACACGATAATTTTTTTATTTCTTTTTAATTTATAAAATCCTTTATTTATACGGAATCACATTTTATATAAAACACATAAAAGACGCTCAAATATGTTTTACAGTTACTTTACCTATAGTGAACTCATCTTGGTCAAAAACTCCTTTCACTACTTTGCAGCTCGTTCCATCTCCACCACAAACTCTACACTCATCTTCTTTGGTAGTGGAGCCCAAAACTCTATCACATCCCACTGGCTAAAATTTAAAGGGAAAAAAAGTAATTTTTGAGAGAACCTAAGATAATTATAATAAACTGACCAGCGTTCTCCCAAAACTAAAAACCTGGTTGCAAGCCTTTCTAAAAGAATATTAAAAAAAATGAGAACTTTTTACTCTCTTCCAATTATTTAAAAAAATATTATTGCCGGGAAATCTTTGATAGCGGTTTTTCTTACAGGAATATTTTAAATTGGAAAGGTAAAGCAGTGAGTAATAAAATATTCGCTTAAAAAATTTTACTATCAGCTTTTTAGTTTGAGGGGGAGACGCTGTTCAGCTTAATAATTTGAAAAGGTATTGGAGGTTTCAAAATGATCTACAATTTGAAAAACTAATGAAAAAAAAAAGAAATGGAAGGAGATAGAAATATACAGAATGCTGTGTTTTGAATAGGAAACTAGAAGATTTATTTTCATTAAGTTTTAAGATTTGTCGCAAAATACCGCTGCCGAATGGAAAAATTATGCAATAAAAAAATATAATAAATAACTGCATAACAGGGACTATTTCAGTTGACGTATTTAGATAATCTTCTTTTAGTTTTGTTTCCTGCGTCACGCTGTCGTTTCAAATAGTAAATATTTTGAAAATATAATTTTGCAGTTTCTGTTACTGACTAGCACCATTTGTTGATGAGCTTAGTAACTCATTTAGAGTAATGGAGAGATTAACATATGAATTGTTTTCTCAACAGAATGCAACAAACCTTACATCTTCATTTCTTTTCCATTGATTTCAAATAGTCAACCATATTTTAGACAAAGGTATCATTTACAGAAATTGAAAATTAATATAATAATCCTAAAATAAGTTTGTTACTAACATTATTATAAAGTAAAATATTTAGTGAAACTGAATGAGCTGAAATTAATACAGATTAGCGACATGAAATGGTAAAATATATAGAAAAAACCTAATTGCTAATGAATGGAAAATAGTTCTTTTATTTTGCACAACTTACATTATAAAATAATTTTGAAATTCTAAAAGTGTCTTTATATATTATGAAAACTTCTGCAATAAGTGTTTAATTACTGAAAAAGAAGAATGCAATGCATAAGTTTACCTTATTTCAGAAGGTATTTGATCAGTGTGACTTAGAACTAAAATTATGTATGTTTGATATGATTAGTTATAAAATTGGAAATAAACAAAACAATTGATTGGGAATTAAATTCTATAATTATGGATGTAAAAGTTGCATTATTGAAAGTTCATATTCATGCTTGTTTTATGAGGAAATCTAAATATAGTAACCATTGAAGTCATTTTGAAAGCATGAATATGCCTTGTGTATTTCGAATAACACAGTGAGTGCTTCGAAAGGCTGTCTTGTGTCATTCGAAAATGATTGATAATGATTATAAAATAATTCTATTTTATAATATTACATTCTTCATTTTCTCTGGGCGTATTTTGAAATTATTGAATACATTTTAACAAACTCCACTAAGACAGTTTTGAATCAATTTTGCGCCCCTTTTTTTCTTCCTTTAGTGCCTTTTTATTTCTTTTGCTTGCTTAATACAGTTTGCATATAAAATTTGACTCCATTTCGCTTAAAAGTTTTAGTTTTCAGTTTTATCTTACCATAACGAGATCTTAATCAGCTTAAACAGTTTTCAGTTAATTTGTAGTGTACATGAATTTATGTGATTATACGCATACCCATACACGCCTGTCAGAAACGAGACTCGTCAAACTGCGCAGCGTGCTTTCAGTTATCCCCAGTCGAATGATAGTGATAGTCTGCCCAAACTAGGCTTAAAGCTGTCAACAACGTCTGGCATGAAATCAATATTTAGATTGTTTTACTTTACTTCCATATTTAATATAATTTTTGTGTAGAATTGCCCCTCAAAAAAGGTCTAAAAAAATTTGCAGACATGCAAACTTCTCCCGTTTAAACCAGATATTTTTTTAATATATAAGTTGGTTGTGAATTTTATGATGCATGATCTTACCACCGTTATATGCAATCAATTCCAACCAATATATATCTATAAATAAGAAAAATAAGCGTTGGCAAAAATTTTAAATTATTTTATAGTGCTATTTCGCTACCACTTTAAACGGTGTGAAATGCTATGATATCTGGGTTAACAACTATAAACTTGCATAATTTTTCATTGAATAAGAGACAAGAATCCCATAACTGGTCTGAGACACTCTTTGTAATTAACTCATAGTAACACAAGAAAAGAAAGCGTTCTATCGTCAGTGATTTCAATTCTTCAACCAATTATCAAGTTTTAGTTTTTTCACCTTTTTCGTAAAATAACATTTTTTGTATAAATTTTTAACTTCTTTTTAATTAATTAAACACTTTTAGATTTAAAAATAAATGCTCATTTTTTACGATAGAAAAATGATGTCTTAGTTAAGGGAATAAGATCTTGTAATAAGATCTGAATCTTAATAAGATCTTGCTATCACTCGAGATATTAAAAAAAAATGTTCTACTGATAGAATTGAAGTGGAAACTCACCATACACTGTCCCTCCACGCATGCATCTAATGATCCATCATTGCGACATCGAGTTCCATCAATAACGGAACGATCCAATCTTGCAAAAAAACTTCCACCCTGGGGCATGCAGTTTAATTCACACTGGTTTTGAGCTAGTAAATAAAGTAAAAACAACTATTTTTTTAAATCTAATTATTTAAATTTAGGGAAAATGTTATTTTTTTCAAAGAAAACAATACATAGTAGTAAAAGCATAATAATACAGGGTTATTCATTATTCCCCCGCCAGTAAACGCCATTTTTCTTTCATCTCCATTTTATGCTAAAATGATTTTTCTATTTTTAATTTTAGAAACTAAAAAGAGTTAATTATCAACCTGTGATTGACAATTTAACACGTGATAAAAAAAATAGAGCAATTAACAAAAAAACAATGTTGTAGTGTTAATTAAAAACAAAAATTTACCTCCCAAACCATAAGAGAAATTTAGAAGTAAACGTCACAGTTATAATGCAAGGTGAGAAAAGACCACGATATTGAAATATAGCCAATTTATTCAATTACTTCACAGTAATTAAGTTGGTATATAATATGAATCAGTAAATAAAACTGCATCTATTTAAAATAAGTTTACATACCACTGTAATAAGGAACCCAGCTATAATACTTTCCATTGTAAGGTACAGAATTGAACCTAGCACATTGCTCTGCTCTGAAATCTCTTGCAGATTGTGGACAATCCTATAAAAATTTGAATTATTAATTTGTTAAATAAAAAAGCAAGTTAAGTATTAAGGGAATGTATAAACTTTTTAAAAAAACAAAAAATCTCCAAAATTTTTTAATAGTTCTTGATAACTAATTTTAAGGTATTACTAATTATTTAAGAATGAAAGAGAAGTAACATATCATTGGAAATTAATTTAGCAATATTATCCATCTCCGTCAAATCTCTTAAGATTGTTTTTACTGATAATCCCAAAGAGGTTGTCCTACGTTTTCAGAAGCACAAATACAGCTTATTTTTCATATTGTTAACATAATTGTAATGGTTAAACATTCGTCGACTTTCCTATGTAATCTCTAAATCAGTCGGTAAAGTTTCGTAGACAATGGGGCAGCTTTTTGTTTTTAAATTCATGTCTTACCAATTCCAAGACATGCATTTGAAGGACCATTGGACTCCGTTTTTGACTTCATCAGCGGAGTTAAGTCAGAGTAAATAAGCTTATAGAGTAAACTAACTACCAGATCAATAAACAGAACCTGAATAGGCGCTGATACTGAAAAATACTTATTCAATTTTAAAAATATGGGCATTATGAAATAGTATTAGACACATGTTTAGCAAAAACAAAACATTTTCTACTCTCCGTACATCATGCCATTGTTCTTCTGCAATAATTTCAATGTAACACTATCATGCACACATTCTTTTATCTGAATTTAAAATAGTGATAATTAAATCTTCCCTAAAAAAATATTTTACACGAAAATGATTCAGCATTTTGACGAGGTGAAAGATGCTATTGAGACATGGTGGGTAGCTGGTATGAAATGGACTTGCAAAAAATATCACAGCGTCTACAAAAATGTATCCGACAGTTGGGGATTAAGTAAGAAGTTAGACGAATGTTCAACCTATGAAATTACGTAATTATTATTTTTAAAGAATAGATTTTTGTAAAAAATTTTTTTTTTAAAAATGGATCTCATTTTTGGAATTATCCTCATCTTAATTTCATATATATAATTTGATCGTATGCATATTTAAAAATATTCTCATCAAAAGAGGACTTTTGAATTTAACAGAATATATGATGGGTGAAGAAATCTTTCTCAAACTATTATAGCGTTTTCCGAAAACCATAATTTTCTTAATCGCAGGCACTTAACAATCGCCAAAATTTGAGTACCACAGCTTTATGGTATAATGTTTTATTAATATATTGTTTTAAAATTGCTCCATAATAATTTTTAGCAAAAAAAAAGGAACTTCATTTTTTTATTACCAAAATACTATCAAACAGGGATTCACGGTCATATTTTTTATATGCTTGCAAAGGTATCTTAAATTAGTTAAATTTAAAGTATTTACAAATAAATAAATAATTCTTTTTCATCTTTGACTAACTTTTTAAGTAATCATAATTTTATTCATTTATTATTTTTTATCAAAGAGTATTTTTTTAATTTATTTCTTTTTTCATTTAGTTTTAAACATATGTACAGAATTCATATTCAAATCAAATTTCTGGATTGAATTTGATTGAATTATGGATCGAATTTTGAATTTGATTACAATCAAGTTACGGATCTTGTTCAGATTTTGTTTATTACATTTAAGATTTATCATATATCCTCAATGTAGTCAAAATTCTTCTCGAAATAAAAAACTATACTTACATCAGTGTTACAGGAAAAGTATCTCCTGGATGGACCCACACAAGAATGTCTACCGTCAGCCCTTTAAAAATTTATGAAAGATTATTTTTTTTATTATAATAAAAATAAAAAGACGCAATAGGGGAAAAATTCGGAGTAATTCAAAAATTTTGTATTTTCTTTAGACCATATCACATTAAAACTTTTTCTTCTGTTTAAAACAGTGCTCAAAATAAGGAAAAGAACAATTTCATAATCAAATTTATCAACAAAATAAAATTAGAATGACTTATGTAGCATATTGAAACTGAATTACATTCAAAACATTGTGTCGTATAAGTCATTTTAAGGTATTTACATGATTTTTTACTTTTGCATTTCGTAATTAAAGTATTTTATAACTCTCATTGTCCAAACTATTATAAACACAGTATTTCATAAATACAATATAAAATAAAATGTTCATATAGTTTTGTTAAATGTGTAAAACTCAGAAAAATAACGGCAGTGTATACAAGATGTGTTTGAAGTTCGGCAAATATATATCAATGCAGTTAAAACTCTTGTCTTGATCTCGTAGTGAGACACTGGAATATCGTAGAATTGAAAAATACATATTTTCAAAACAAATAATAAATATGGTGACATCTTCAAAAAAAAACATTATCTGTGCTCCAAAGAGGTAAAACAACGCAATGAAATTATTTCATAATATGCATACAGCTAAAGTATGTAACGTTAAAAGTAAATGATTAATATAAATTAGTAAAGTATTGAAAGATTAAAATAATTATTAATTGAAGACACTCCTTTATTTATTTCAAGAGTTCAAACTTGAAGAAATAATATTTAGTTATATTGTAATCATCCGTAACACCATAATGATCATCCTTAACATAGACTTTTACAATCTTTGTCAAAATTGAAATAAAAGAATCACATAAAGGATTACAAATTAATATTAAGGAAAACATCAAACTACTCTCAGAATCAATGGACTCACTAGGGACGAAGGTGGGATGGAGAAACATTAAAACTAGCAGCCTAATTTAACTATTTACTAACTGTTTTCTCCAGCAACTAAACAGATTTTGGATATTTCAATCCTGCTTTTTACTGTTAATTCGTTATAATTCGATAACAATTTTTCATGCTTAAATATTTATCGGAGAGCCCAAACGTGTACTTTTTATTGCTTCATTTTTGACAAGGATTCTAAATATTTACGTTAAAGGCAGTCATTAGAGAGCACCCTGTATATAAACAGCAATTACGCTTACAGTGAAATTAATAATGAATTACATGAAGAAACAATCAATATCAATTTATAATCCATTAAATAAATAATTTGTTCATTACTAAAAACAGGTCCATGGGTTACCACCGAATCTCGAAAATCGTAAATTCGGCCATTATTACCTTGCTAATTTCTATATAAACTGATTTTTTCCGTTAAAGTGCGTAATCAAGGGTTTTCTGCATTTTTCCTGGCGAATGTGCACATCAACAACTTCCGTATCCTTTACATTCAAATATCACCACAGCTTGATTGTATTTACTGAATTCGTTAAAAATCGAAAAGTAAATTAATAATACTATAGTTATTTCCTTAATTGTAATAATATTTAAACCTTTAAATTTCTTGTATTATAATTATTAATTGATGATTGGTTCAAAACTAATTTATTGATTATTTTATTGTATTAAGTTGATTCTTTATATATCAAAAATTTTATCAATGTTATAGTTATTTCCTTAATTTAACTATATTTCCCAATCAAATAACAGTAAAAAGATGATATTCAAACTGTTAACTGGGAGAAAAACCGTTTATTAACAGTTTTCACCTAATGCGGTTAAACAATCTGAATTTATCCGCACCAATCAGGCCCACCTAATTAACCCACTTAGTCCCTTGCAGCTAAGCATATATTAACTTCGTTAGGGCTAATCTGTCAATCTCACGAAGGAGATTTCGGAAGAAGGGGTCGAGTGTTGAAACCACAATCTTTCCTCCATTCCCTTCAACAAATGAATTTCCAGTATCCTGAAACTCTCCAATTTGTGAGCCTGAACTTTTAAAATATTATATTGTTTTTCACGCATGGATGGCAACACCACAAAGCTGCTTAGCTCAAAAAAGTCTAGTATTTACAGTATCTTACGATAGGTAAATCAACCAGATGAACTGAGCATGTCACATTCCACAGTACATTTGATAAAACACAACCTAACCCCAATGCCCATTACCCAACGATAAACCTAGCTCCAATATCCAGTTAAATTTCTTTTTTTAGGCTTCTGAAACCATCCTTGATGTAAATGGTTAAAAAACCGTATAGTTTTGTATTCATGGTTTTTTAATCATATTAGCTGTAAACGGTTTCAAAAGTATAAAGGTAAAACATGCTCCTTTCCGAAAACTTAACGATTTATTGGATGAACAGACTGCTATCAGTTATTTTACCATAATTTCAGAATGAAAATTTTAACAGATTATAATATTTTAACCTTATGATTCTTTGTATTATAGTTATTTGATTGAGTCATGATTAATTCTTTCTGCTAATTCATGATTGTTTTATTGTAAATATTTGATTCTTTAGATAAGAAACAATAAATAAATAAAATTGTACTAATATCAGCTTACAGAAACGTTGCTGCTGTTGCAGCGAAGATATTATTGATAGTGATAGTAGGAAATGTGCAAATTACATAAATATTTTTCACAATGAGCAATTTTCGGCACTTAACCGGATCTTCCTAGTTAATCTGCACATTTCCTAGATAATCTACAAAATAACTGACTTCCACACTTTAGCGGTAAGATATATTAATTTTCACTGACAAGGGAAACTAGGGAAGTGTGACTCGCCAATTTTGAAATAAACTTAGTGGGATGTATGCCTTATGAGGAATAAATTTAGGGGGCAACATTCGTTTCGGCCCATAGAAGGTCCTGTGACAGATAAAAAATAATTCAATCTATAGAAAAATCGGTATTTTATTACTTCGATGCAGACTATTAGTTATTGTAATTGTCTGATACTCCAATTAATTAGTAAATAATTGGTTAATTAATTAGCAAATTAATTAATGAATTAGCAAATTAATTAATGAATTAGCAAATTAATTAACTATTATTTAATTAATTGATTTGCAATTACATACTCCTATTAATTTAGAAAATATTTTGAAAAAAAAAATTAAAAAATTTGTCAATTTGTTTTTTTGAATTAACCAAACAGGTTTTTCTGAAAAACTACAGATATATAAAATTCTCGAAATCAATTTTGACAATAAATATGCATTATATAGTACGTGAAAGTACCACAAAATTAATTGGAGTATGAGATAATTTCAATAACTAATAGTCTGNTCAACATTCGTTTCGGCCCATAGAAAGTCCTGTGAGAGATAAAAAATAATTCAATATATAGAAAAATCGGTATTTTATTACTTCGATGCAGACTATTAGTTATTGTCATTGTCTCATACTCCAATTAATTAGTAATTAATTGGTTAATTAATTAATTAATTAATTAATTAATTAATTAGCAAATTAATTAATGAATTAGCAAATTAATTAATGAATTAGCAAATTAATTAACTATTAATTAATTAATTGATTTGCAATTATATACTCCTATTAATTTGGAGAAAAAAAAATTCTAAAAATTTGATGCCAATTTCTTTTTTAAAATTAACCTAACAGGTTTTTCTGAAAAACTACAGATATATAAAATTTTCAAAATAAATTTTGACAATAAATATGCATTATATAGTACGTGAAAGTACCACAAAATTAATTGGAGTATGAGACAATTACAAAAACTAATAGTCTGCATTGACGTAATAAGATACCGAATTTTCTATATATTGAATTATTTTTTATCTCTCACAGGACCTTCTATGGGCCGAAACGAATGTTGCCCCTAAAATTATTCCTCATAAGGCATACATCCCAATAGTTTATTTCAAAATTGGCGAGACACACTTCCCTAGTTTCCCTTGTGAGTTCATATTTAATGAAAGCAGAGCAGTGTATTATATATACCTGACATCTAGACATATCCTGTCCTGAAACAGGATTCCCCCTCCACAACTTCGGGAGCATTCACTACTTTCTGTCCATGGTCCCCATGGTCCATATTCCGCTATCCTTTGTGATTGAGCTACAAACGTTCGATTTGGTGCCGATGTCCTCGAATGCAGGTCTGTTAAAAATACTTGTCTTTTGAACCTCTCATGACTAGTTAATCTTGTCTGAAAAACAAGCAGAAATTCATAGTTATACACGGAGAAAAAAAAATTCTGGTAAAATTACCGTACTATATATTAAAAAACATCAATAATTAAAAAAAAAACATAATTTTGGTAATAAAACAAAAATATACGGTATTTAAACCTATCATATAGTAAAAGTTCACTGGAAATTCTGGTTTCCAAAATTATACCTCTTATTAAAAGAAATTAAGTAAAAATATGAAAAATGAATTTAACCGAATAAATGGCTTTTATACTATGACCTAAGATGAGATAAAATCTCCAAATTTTACCACATTTACTAAATTTTAACGCATATTTTATTGTTAATTTTACCAAAATCATTACTGAAGCGCATTGGTAAAAATTACCAGAACTTTTTGGTGTTTCCATAGAGCCTGAAATACGATACATTTTTCCATGTTCTTTGATCATACTTTTTTTCTCAGTGTACAACTTATAAGCAATATTACTTACTTGCAAGCATATATATTATTTTTAAAATCTACCACTATTAATAAAACCATTTTAAAATGCCATTTCCATTGGCTATTGAAGTGTTTTAGAGTAAAATATGAATGCAAGAGTTCAAATCAATCCGAAACCACTAGAAAACACTTTTAATAAAAAAAACCTACATTACTTTTGAAATTTTGAAATTTTTAACGTATCATGATTAACAGAAATGAGAAATTCCAATAAATTTATATGTTAGGAAAATCAAATGCTTAATTACAAATGTGAAAAAAACTTCAATTTCTAAAATGGAAAATTTTAATGATTTTTTTAAAAAAAGTATTAATTTTAATATAATACTTCGATAATAAAATATTCTAAAAATCTGAAATTTTTTAATATAAAACATAAAAGCAATTTGAATATGAAATATTATTAAAATAAATAAAAAAAATAGTAGAAATTTTGATGCTTTTCATAGTGAAGTGATTATGGTTTTAATATTTTAAAATTTACTAGCTAACAATTTACTAGTTAGCATTAGAACATAGTTAACAACAATATAAAATCTCAAAACACAAATGGTTCGTAATACTTTCGTATAGAATCAAATGTTTCGTAATTAAAGAAATGATTCGGAAAAGCAAAAGTTTGTAATTTTCTTTTAAATCTTTAAACACAAACAAATTTACTAAAAAAATTAGACTAATATATTAAAAGGAAATATGCTTACTTCATTTCATTTATTAATTTCATTCTAAGGGCAAAACTTTTATAACATAAGAGGTTAAAATAATAGATTGAGATGCATTTGTGAAAGCTTTGTTATTGATAGTAAATAAAATATTGATTATAATATAATGAAGCAAAACTAATTTACCTGTGTAAATGGAAATACTAATGAAATACTATGAAATAAAATGACTAGAAGATAAAGTAACCTTGGTAACCTGAAAATAAAATAAAAAGAGATTAATAGACAAACTATTTCTGTTTTTATAGTCCATAATTTTTATCTGTCAATATTTTTTCACTTAACTAGTTTGCTCGTTAAATTACTACAAGTTAGTTTAACTAATAAAATAATAAATATTGCAACTCTGATTCAAAATATTAGATTGATCTCTTTTTCTCACCTAATAAAAATACATCACTTTATTTTTTAGTATTATTTAATGCGAATATGCAAACGATATTGGATGAGGAATTCATTTCCAAATTTTCACATATTTTCAAATTATTTTTATTTTTTAAAAAAAGGCAGTTTAAAAAATTATTGTTAAATCTTAAAATATTAGAGTATATTAATTGGTTCAGAGTTTTAGAATATATTATGATAAGATATGTTTTAAATAATTAACGAGTAGGCCTATTAAAAAAAAATTTTTTTATTGCAGACGATTCCTTTTAAGTAACTTCTCTTTTGTGTCTTATTTTTTGAATTTTAGTTTTTAAAGGGACATTTACCTGATACTCCAGAATTAATAACAGTTAATGACCTAACATTGACAAGGTAAAAATCAACAATCTATAGCAAATTGATCTCAATCAAACGTTTGCAGAATCTAACAGCAGTATTGAAAGAATTCAAATTTAAGTAAGAAATATTGTAAAGGTATCTGAAAANTATTTACTCCTAATATTCTTCTTCGTTATAGAATAGTATACATTTCTGTATCCATATAATTCGGAAAACAACAATAAAAAATTATCCTAATTACTTGAAATAGTGCCATTTGTGCTGATTCTTAGTTAATTTTCATCGTTTTCTTGGTAAGTATTTTTTAGTTTTGAAAGAATTTCAACTAGAATTCAGCTATTCTGTTTTTAGCTACATATTCAAATTCATATCAAGACCTTACAATTATAAAATTTTGCTGCGTAGTATGTTATCTAAAAGTAATGAAGAGATAATCTATGCATGTATTATTTCAAAATAAAAATTTCAAACGAAGAACATTTCATTTGGAATTCTACACATTTATAAAACAAGTGAGTGTTATGATTTTTATAATAAAAAATTTGCTTGTAAATATTTTTTTACTTATTTGATGATAGTTCTCTACAGAATGGTTTTTTACGTCTGATTAAGAACTATAAGAATAATAAAAAAAGAAACAATATGAAAGTTTTTATTTCAATGAGAAGAATTCTTAGAATTGTTTTTTGTCCTAAGAATTCTTTATTTTCCGTTTTTTAGTTTATAATTTTTTTATTAAAAATGTTGTCAAGAAATTTTTTTTTGAAGAATTAAATGATATAACATTATGTGTTTATGTATACTTTTTATATATTCTAATGTTTGAAGTGATATGATTCAGAAAAGTATGGAATAAAAATTCGGTACTTACGTATTAACGCCACCGCCACTACAGATTTGGCGGTTTTTAAGTGCCGCCAATTTACACTTAAAATTTTTGCAACAAATCAAAAAATAAAACACTATTTAAAATCAAAGTAGTCAATCGGATTTCGGTGGATAATGGCCGATATAGAGTTTAGCATAGATTCAAAACAATCATATCGCCATATGAACTCTGATAAATAAGATTCCAAATGAAATAACATTTCCAAAACGTACGTTTACCAAGATAAAGTTTTATGTTGTGGGAATTGGTACATTTTCGTTTTTTCGGTAAAATATTTCCCTCCTGAAAAAATAAAATTGCATCTTGTTTTGTTTTTGGCAAATCCCAAAGACGAATTTTCGTAGCACTAAAAAATGGCGACAAAAAAGAATTATTTTTTTGTTTTTGTTTCGTCAGAATTCTTTATTTTACGTTTTTTAGTTTCTAAATAATGATTTTTATTGAAACTTGAAATTTTTTGTCAAAAATTGTTGTCAAGAAACTTTTTTTACAGAATTAAATCTCATAAAATTATGAGGCTTATGTATACTTTTTGTTCATTTTAATTTTTAAAGTAATATGATTCTTAAAAGTATGGAATGTAAAGTTTAAATAGGCCTTTCACGTTATATCATTAAATTCAGTAAAATTATTTCTCGGGCATTAGGTTTTAACTCTTATAAGAATATACATATTTTTTTCTGTTAATGTACAAATATTTTTCCGATGTGTTTTGGATATTCCTTCTCTAATAAAAAGAGATACCATTTTGTTTTCGGTTGTACAAGAAAGAAGATCAAGCATTTTTCTTTTTTAAATTTAATAAGCCACATTAAAGA